AAAATTTTCAAAATTATTTAGATTCGTCAATTTTTTTTGTTTGTCTGTCTGTTCGTCGTGATTCTACAGACTGTTACACCCAAAAACCTTATTCACCTAACTTTATATTAAAAATATAAAGTTAAGTAGATTTTTTTTGTATTTTAATGTAAGCTTAAGTACATAAAATGTACATATAAAAAACTACTATTAATTCACGCCAGATACTCAATCTGTTCAATGATTGCATGTTGTGTGTGTATGAGTGAAGCCTTTTTATAGGAATCCTTTAAGATAATTTATGTATTAGGGCGGATATATAAAAAAAATAAGGAGACTAAACTAAGCACTAAAAATTAATGGTTAATATAACTACTATATTATACCTAATATATTCAATGTCCTTGGTTCAAACACTTTCGAACCAAAATATTAAATCAATCGATTAAGAACTTTATGTCGTCAACTCTTAGACTTTATCCTTTTACTTAGAAGGTTTGCTGGAATTTTGCTACATTATTTTTCTCCAATACCCTTAAAGATTTTTTCAATCTTTCTTGTTTATCCTAACCTTAAGCTGATTTCTCATTTCTCTGAAATACCAAGCAGGAGACATTTTGTCAGACAACTGAATAAGAGTTACTAAGTTTAAAAATTGAAATCAGTGTAGTTTTAACACTAACTTTACCTTCTTTCAACGAAAAGGAACAAAAACACATATAACTGTAATAAATGTGTACCTATTATGTATAAGTACTTGTTTTTGAGGGTCCCTTCGCGAATCACAAAGGTCACAGACGAAATCGCTACCACATAATACGTAAAAGGCATGTTTCTAAAAAAACATATGATCCTAAAAGCTTTCTCTTTATTTTATGAGATTTCTATCAATCTACAACCTGCATGAGTACAAACAAGTAAATTCCTTAGCTCTGCGGCGTGTAAATTAGATTATTTGTCCTACACTATTAAATTATAATTGAAAATCCTGACCTTTCGCGTCAAGTGTCTCTTTGGAATGTTAATGTTAGGTGCCAAATGTGTCCCCAACACCAGTGTTAACCCACAATGGGGTCGAAGTAATTAATTCCACATGAATTTACTGCGTCAGCCTACATGGATGGTTCAATGACCAGTTATAGACAATAGACTGTTTAACTATACATAAAAACTGTACACTTCCAAAATATTCAATCTTAAACTCGTACAAAAAATAATTCATAAAATTTCGTTAGAAAACACATTTACGGTCGTTGCTCAGTTGGTAATAAAAAATGATTGCATGTAACGAATTGTTTGTTGTTCAGTTTCCATCAAAACTTATTTGCAGTGAAAGAAATAAAATAATGATGCGTGTAAACCTGTTACCCTAATTTGTGGCATAAAGCATGTATGTTTGACATATGTACCTTATTATATATTATTACTTATATATTTGAGTCTCTTTCATTGAACAATTGGTTTCAAAGTTTTTTTTGTATGTTATTTAGTTATTAAATTGGGTATTACGAAACGGGAAAAATTGCATTACAAAGCGGTTGGAAATGATAGAAAAATATGTAAAAGCGAACTCATGTAGCGTAAATTGTTGTAAAATGTTGGCAAAAAGGGTTTCAGATGAGCAACGATCATTTGTTAGCTGTGACAGCCTATTAAAATGTTGGCAAATTTATCATCCCAGCCTGAATTACAATTAGGGAATTATGTGGAAACGGAAGTTGAAAAGGTTCGAATATCTATATGTTCAGACAATTATCACGTTTTGTTTTTAAAATAATATACGATTCGCTTTAAATCGAGGCTTGTGTTTTTATAATTGGTTTAAAATGATTATTTTTTATTACCTTTTCTTTTTTCAGTCAAGCAGACAAATAAATCTTCTCGCCTTAGAAAGTGTTATTCCGTTTCTTTTGCGCAATATGAAAAATGTAGACACATTATTGTGTCTGTTTTACTAGTTAAATTCACAGGTAAGTAATTTAAAAGCCCATGATATCTAGAATTAGACTTCGGAGATGCTCCGACCGAAATTGTATACCTATAGCGTTTCCATATCGATCCCATGACCTCTTGCTCTTACAACAATCCTGCGCAACGCATTTTCCAACGCGTGTTTAATAAGACAGGTGAACAACAATTAAAGTTTGATTAAAAGAAACACATTTACAATTTAATCATCCACACGGAGGATAAAGCAACAACATCAATTAATTTGTGTCGATGTGTCTTGAAATAATAATAAACACGAAATGTCGTCTTTGTGAGTATTTAGTTGTTATTGTTTTAACTGATCCTTCTAAAGTTTAATCAAACTGACCGCATTCAATGCACAGATAAGGGTCTAGACTAAAGCTAGCGTCCACTACTTTTGCTATTAACGTGAAAAATGCAGACATTAATTAAATATTACTTTAATTTCAGGCCACTAATTATATATAAAGGATTATTACCCCGCAATACACAATTACAACCTTTTAGTTACACTTTTAGAACATAATAACTCTACAGAGATTTTTTAATAAAAATGTAGTAGATGTAGTAAATGGTTTCTAAACACTAGCTATAAAGTAGGCTCAGAAAAATGCTCCGAATTCTTAGGCGGTTCAAGTCACAGTAACCAAACAATATGTTTTTTTATTTCAGACTGGACAACAATCCTAAGAGACATTCCGCTCCAACAAATACATCAACGCTAGATTTCTCGTCTACCCTCCCATCTTTTATTTTGAAGCTACCTCCATTGAAACAAAACACAAATTCGCAAAGCAAATACATTTCAATTAGACCGATGCATTATCACTAATCATCAGAAATTAAGCGTGGATTTGAAATCAATTATAGTCTCGCTATTTCGGATTCACTTCTAGTCTATCGGGCGACCGGTCAAAGGGATTTTAATTTTATTGGAACTAAAAATCCTCTAGCAATTTTTAATCACGAATGAAATAAAATCTGATAGACTGTCGAGCAACATGAGCCAATGTAAATTTGCTTATTTTTTATTTGTAGGCTAAAAACAGACAGTTTTAACACTTACTTATAAACTTTGAGTAAATCAAACTCTTTTGAAAACATTATTTTTGCACATGATGGCCTTATATATATTGAAAATGTATTAAGTTTAAAAACTACATTTATATAAAGCTGTCACATGCTAACCTAAAAAACAAGAATGTTTCTTAGATCATGGTAATCTCTATTGTAAGTATGTAATTCTATTGTAAGACAGTTTGTTACTCTGATTTAAAAGTCGATTTTTATTTCAAATTACTCCCGCCACTGCTATCATTTTCTCGTCCGTTAGGCAAAAATTAACATTAACCTCATTTCTCAAACACAGCAGCAAGACTAGATCCATTAAGGAGTTTAAGAGTTTTGTTTACAAATGTCTGGAGCGCGTATTCAGATTCGGGTAATGTTCTATTAAGCACAATGGTTTGTGTGGCGTCATTAAAATATAATACTCGCGTTATGTGGATGAAATATTTCAGTTGGAGCTGTCGTGTGTAAGCTGGAATCCTGCAAGTTATTACGCGAGGTGTGAGTGAGTTATTTCACAGATTTTGCACTAAATTATGTGCAGATGGCTATGACAAAGAACGTCGTCGTTGTTTTTGCTAGATACTTCACCATTTCCTTGAATGTTAATAACCTTATTACGAAATTATATTATTCGATTAATTCTTCGAGCAATCGAGGGGTTAACATCTTCTGATGTTGCCGTCCACACGTGATGACGAAACGCCGAGAACCTCTTCACGCACACGTCGGCCGAACAGCCCGATATGCAATGATATGCTGAACGATGGCCGTGAAAGCCTTACACAATTTAATAAGAAATTTTCTGAATCTATTTGTAAACTAATTGAATCCTAGACTTTTTGTATGGGATTGTCTGAATTACAGTGCAACATTTTTCAAGAACATACGTTGGAGTAGTAACTATAAAAGTCACAAAATTATACTTAAAAATTCGATAAAAGCTTTAATAATTTTGTGCAAACCGATATTTTCCCTTCAGTTAAGTACGAAGAGGCCACAATTTTCAATAAATCGTTGACAATTAAGCAAGTGCGGTATCAGTTTCAGCAGATGCTGTTTTCCGGGCAGCCATTACGAGTAACCGACACTTGTACCCATTGCTCACAATATCGGAAAATTAATTTTCGCGGTCTGTACCCGATGCTCGCTCACTGGAAAAAGCGGTTATTGTTTCTTTTTTAGGTTCCTTTTATTTGAGTAGAGTTTTCTATATTTTCCATAGGCTCGTTGGTCCAATCGTAAGTAATAAATAAGAAGGAATGTACGTTTAATTCGACAGTCAAGATACCCCCTAAGTGAGAAAAAAGAAAATGGTCTCTACATTATGTGGATTATCACTTGACCCTAATCTTTTATTAATAATTACGAATGTATTAATAAGAGGTCGTCAACATTTTCAATCAAATTTACTTCAAAATAATTTATAAAATAAAGGGATATAAAAGCCTTGTGCGTAATTGGCTACATGCGTAGAAGCCCGCTGCTTGCATTAAGCTGGAGATGGTTGGTTGATGATACAATGCTTGGTTACTCCTCAATGAGGTCATCTGAGGTCGTTTCTTTGTTACAAAACATAGATTATAATAATTTAACAGAAAACAGACTAAGCATTTTGTCAACGACATGTGTTTAATTTTATAAAATATGTCTTTTAAATAAAACACTTTAACGGTTTAAAACGCGATAGGTGGAGGGGAGGTGCTCCGTGACCACGGCTGCTGCAAAGCATCCGAAACGTCGGGCCGAAGTTAAAAATCATTTTCAAATAAGTTTAACTAATATATCGCGTTTTAAACCGTTAAAGTGTTTTATTTAAATGTGTACTACTCGCGCAAACTATAGACAGTATATAAAAGATGTCGATGAAATCTAGGGGAAACGTATATTTTCGGTCAGGGCATAGAAACATGATGAACTATTTTTCTTAGTCAGGGTTTAAAGTCATAATAAAATACAAAATGTGGTTTAACCGATTTTATTCACGTCGGTGTAGCAAAATGAATGTGGAATACTCTATAAGCGCAATAATCCATCAGGGCTAAGCACAGTGGATAAGTAATTTTCTTCGCTACCGTTGTCGTTACAAAATACGCCAATACCCCAGCACCCGCTGTATACCAGCCCCATGGGCGTTCATACTTATGAGAGTAAAGACAGAGCGAAACTATATTGCAAGCTATTACAAGGTTTCCGAGGTGGGGGTTGTCACTTCCAGCTAAGGCCATCGCGAAAGGAATCAAACCGGAGACGAGGTGAAGCGTGCTTAGACTCTGATCACTCCGGTAAAGATCAGCGTTTAGACACGGCAACGCCAAATACTTTGATGCTGCTAAGCTGATCGCGTAGGCTGATTTAAAATCGTTGTTGAACTTTCCACCTGGAAGAACAAACTGGTGTTTTAATTATAGACCTACGACAGGATTCTAAATACAGGTTTAGATATTTATTAGATTCAAACTATGTCTTTAAATACTGTTGAAAGCAACTCTATAACTTTTTTTAATGTTAGAGGACAGACGAGACAGACAGAGTGAAATACCTCAGAAATATAACATCTACATAAGTACGCTGCCGACCTTTTCTGCCTTTGGATATTCGGAATACTTCACAAACACTAATACAGTATGAAATTCTAACTGTAAGTCTTAAAATTATATGCCACAGTATAGAATGGCAATAATTTTTACTAACTTTGATAGTGCATAAATCCCAATATCCCGTGGACAAAGAAGTTTGCATGCATGCCGGGGTGTGTGAAGGACTTGGCGTGCATGCGACCAAGGCCCTGTCCGGCAACACAGCACAACACAACATGCGCAAGAGACGCATTAATATCGTCATTGTCGCTCATTGCAAATATCTATTGTATAACAAAATTATAAATAAGTTCATTTGTAAAAATATGACACAACCATCAGAATATTTAAAAATTGACAGTAATTACGTACTGTCTTTGACAAAGCGATGGCAATATTTGTAAAAATGCTAATTTGTGAAATTTTACTTTTACTACTTTTTACTTTTTCTACGTCTAAAATCAAAAATTGAGCAGATGGGTACTTAGATAGTCTGTTGAATACATTTTATTAAATTTGACTAACTTCTGTTCCACAATTTTTTTCTTTTAATGAAGTGAAATATTCCTTATATTTTTCGCAAAACAACCGATTATTATGAGCAACTTACACATGACTAAAAAAAATATGAAAATAAATTTCGATACTAAATTGAAAAAAATGTACACGAGCAGGACTTGAACTGGCATCCACAGCATTCAAACAAGTGAAAATATTAAAGTTTTCAAAAATGATGTCCAAATTGTTATCAGAAAAAGAATAATAAAGACTAAATGCTTCATGTTGTTCGTGTTTCCTGTATCTTTTCGGATTTCCCCATACTGTCCCAGTTAAAAAAATACATTCATATATATTTAAAGGGATATGGTTATATATCCGCTCGTAATGTAAAAATAAATGAATAAATGTTTATGGTGAGGGAAGGCTTATTATTATTATATATTAGTTTATGGTGAAAACTTTAAGGTAGGTACTAAAAACCAATAGAAGTATAAAGTGCTATGAAATAATATATTTTGAATTTATTAAGGATATCATTTAATACAATTATGATATAAGGTACATCGAACGTAATTAAAGTTCATATTACGTCGATTACGTATATATGCAAATATTAAAGGAGTGTTTTTAGGTATGTCATAGTCTGTTTTGGATGTAATGCAGGGTTGCGCCATCTATAATTGTCTTCCGACACTAGATGCTAAAGTGTTGCCAAATAACATCATTAGTTGCCAGTTTATAAAAAAAATGAAAATAATATGTTTTAATACACATTTTTTTCACTTTATAAACAAAACATCGATATCACATAAATAAAAATTGAAAAAATAATATAACTTCTTAAAACGAAAATTATTGCATATTGTATTTTTTTTAATTTGGCATTTATGGTAAACAAAAACACAATTTATATGAAATCGTGATTCTTTCTACTCACAAGTATTATCATTATTTATAGTAAAACATTGTTTTGGTTACTCGCCTTCTATAATAACTTCAGTATCAGTTTGTTCCTACTCTTTACAAAAAAATCTATATATTTTAAAGAATATATAGTATAATATATACACAATTTTAGTTCTGGAAAAAAAATACGGCGCAAGTTTTTCTTTACTGACATTCGATTTGCTTCAAAATGCCATAAGAGAGCACTCTATCTCAATATAAATTATGATGTAATGGAATACAAACTTTATTTTTAACGCTCAAACCTACATTGTCATAGATATATAAATATACATATAATAATGTGACATACTGTGTATAATTAAGCGATTTACCAATGATAATAATTATTATTGTTATTATGACATTATACTCTGTGATTTGTGCTAGTCTATAGTTTGTCGTAATTCGTTTCTATATTCTGTATTACAAACAGGCTTCCATTTTACTGTTGAAGGCGTATGGATTTTATAAAAATAAAGAGACTAAAGTTATCAGTGGTATAAATCAATAAACTCATCACGGTACCAATTGTTATCTACTAAGACGCAGTAACAGTGAAAGATGGCAGCCAGTGATTCCGGGACAGATGAGTCACTTTACCCAATTGCAGTACTTATTGACGAACTGAAAAACGAGGATGTACAACTGCGTTTAAATTCCATAAAAAAGTTGTCAACGATCGCTCTCGCTCTCGGCGTTGAAAGAACAAGATCTGAGCTTATCCCGTTTCTCACTGAAACAATTTACGATGAGGATGAAGTGCTTTTGGCCCTCGCAGAACAACTCGGTAAGTATTTCTGCCATTACTATTTTCACTCCTTTGTCACGTAAAAACATTTCAATTCTATTTCTAGCCCTCTCTGCCATAGTATTCGTAGTTTAATGTTATCAAGCAAATTAAGTTAGAAAACTAGTTATTGTTTACACTAACAGTTTTATAGGGCACTCCGTTATTATAATGTAATATGATTGAGAATTGTCTAAAATAGTACAGCTGCTATTCTTTAGACTGACCTCTTGGGCTCAGTAGAATTATTTATTTGAAATTAATTCCTCGGAAACATGACCAATTGTTTTTATTCAGCAGGGCACAGCATATCACTTTCTTACGCCATATGTAGAAAAAAAAGGTTTACTTTCCATATTATAATATGATATTAAAAACAAATTGCTTATTTTGTTCTAAAAATACAGTGTTTTATATACAGGTAGTTTCATCAGTCTAGTTGGAGGTGGAGAGTTTGCCCACTGCCTTTTACCTCCTCTGGAGTCACTAGCAACTGTAGAAGAAACTGTGGTTAGAGACAAAGCAGTTGCGTCTCTACGTGCTGTTGCTGCACACCATTCACCGCAGGCATTAGAGCAGCACTTTGTTCCCTTGGTTCAGCGTTTAGCTGGTGGTGACTGGTTTACATCTCGAGCATCAGCTTGTGGACTATTCAGGTAATATAAAATCTTTATATACTAATCATCAAGTTATTTATGCATAGAGTATTTAATATGCCCAGTCATAGGTGCAGAACAGACAAATATCATGCTAACATATTATTTATCACCAGGGTTCTTAAAGGAGCTGCAGTGCCCAAGGTTTACTTTGCAAATAAATGTAGCGAATGATTTATGCAAGGCAGCACTACTCTAAGGTGGTTGATGCATTCCAAGTGTTTTCTCCCATTTCAGCAAGCATTCATCTTTGTATAACAATCAATAACCTAAAATTTATTTGTGCATGATTTAAATTTATAATAAGAGTAAGATCTATTATTTGCTAGAAAGAAAAATTATCATACATATTTAAAAAAATATATCTCATGCCTTTTGTGACCTATGCAAATTTTGGTAACATATCATAAATACTTAATAAGATGCTCCTGCTATGGATCTAGTTTGAATACAATCTTATTAGTTCTTAAAGGAATCCCAGCAAAAAAATGGGGTTATGTCATGTTAAGTGTAGTAGGCTTGGTTCTCCGTTCCAGGGCAACATTCTTTAGTGGCAGGTACAAAGAGCTCATTTTTGGCTCTAAATTAAATTTGTAGCATTTAATGCTTATTTCCTTTTTAGTGTCTGCTACCCCCGTGTATCAGCGCCCGTAAAGGCAGAACTTCGCAACCATTTCCGCACACTCTGCCAAGATGACACACCGATGGTGCGTCGCGCAGCGGCATACAAGCTCGGAGAGTTTGCCAGGGTCGTTGAAGTGGAGTATGTTAAGAGCGACTTAATACCTATGTTTGTCACTCTGGCTCAGGTTAGTGATGAATTATGTAACAAGATTTTTTGTTCAAATGTACAGATAATAATGTAATAAATATGTAATTTAATTTACACTACAACAAACTTTCAATTATTAATTTTGAAATGACTACCCACATAAGCTTGTCTTAAAATTTGCTTGATGAGTCTTTATTTATATGTTGTTTATAACAGGATGAGCAAGACTCTGTACGCTTGTTGGCTGCAGAGGCGTGTGCAGCTGTCGCTGGTTTATTGCCACCAGAAGACATGGAGCAACTGGTCATGCCCACAGTACGGGCCCGCGCTAGCGACAATTCCTGGAGGGTGCGCTACATGGTCGCTGATAAGTATGTATACTATGTGCACTAAATGCGCCTCGCGGTGTTATCGCGCAAGAAATCTTTATACAGTTAATTTTATCAATATCCATCAAGACATTTCGTAACCTAAAATGACAAACATACTTACGAAATGTTTCTTTTCAAGTATTTTACATATTATCCACTACATGTACCTTCTGTCGAGCTTGCATTTACCCAATACGATATAGTAACTATTACTGGTCTGAGGATTAAAAATAGAACTAGTCTTAAACTAGGTAAATGAATAAATTTCACTGAAATTATGTAGTTTTATTTTAACGGATTGTGGTGTGATAAAATTTTTTTATGTATAAAAAGTGTATATTTAGAAGTGTGATATTAATAAGTTATATTATCTTAGATTTGTGGAGCTGCAACAGGCAGTCGGACCAGAACTATCCCGTACTGACTTGGCTCAGATCTTCCAAGCACTTCTGAAGGACACTGAAGCAGAAGTTCGCGCTGCCGCCGCTGGAAAGGTGAGGTTTAATAATACATATTACATTTAGGAGTATTATTTTAAGGCAAATTTTATATCAGCTTACAGAAATATTAAGCATATGTTTTAATAGTAATCTGTGTATACCTGCAACACATATTTTCATAATCAAGGAACAGTTTTTATATTATTAGTATGTCTCTGAGCCAAGTTCATATTGCCAAAAAAAAAAAAATTTTTTTTCAAGCAACTCATTTATTCTTTTCAGGTAAAAGATTTCTGTATGAATCTAGACAAGGCCCACCAAGAACATATTATCATGAATATGATTCTGCCACAAATCAAAGATCTAGTTAGTGATCCCAACCAACACGTCAAGTCTGCGCTGGCTTCCGTCATCATGGGACTTAGCCCCATTGTCGGCAGACAGAACACCATTGAACATCTTCTGCCCTTATTCCTCACACAACTCAAAGACGAGTGCCCTGAAGTCAGATTAAATATCATCTCTAATTTAGAATGTGTCAATGAGGTCATTGGAATCCAGCAATTAGTCCAGTCTCTATTGCCAGCCATTGTTGAATTAGCTGAAGATACAAAATGGCGAGTTCGTCTTGCCATTATTGAACACATGCCTTTATTAGCCGGTCAACTCGGACAGGAGTTCTTCGATGAGAAACTCAGAGGCTTATGCATGACCTGGCTGTTTGACCACGTTTATGCTATCCGCGAAGCCGCCACACTAAACTTGAAGAAGTTAGTTGAACAATATGGGCCAGGATGGGCCGAAACTAACGTGATACCTAAAGTATTGGCCATGTCACGAGAACAAAACTACTTACACAGAATGACCTACCTATTTTGCATCAATGTATTAGCTGAAGTCTGCGGCAAAGATATAACCACTAGAATCCTGCTGCCGGCAGTTTTGACAACAGCCGATGACGAGGTTGCCAACGTCAGGTTCAATGTTGCTAAGACGTTACAGAAAATGGCTCCATTCTTAGACCCAGCTGTTATTCAACCACAAGTGAAGCCCGTTTTGGAGAAACTAAATGTCGATGAAGATGTTGATGTAAAGTACTTCGCATCAGAGGCCATAGCTGGAATCGCCGGCTAAGTTAAGATAAACCTAGTATTTATAATTCCAGTATAAAAGTGGTCACTTCATTCCAGGGTTGAATCCACGTATACATTACGGCATTTAAATTGCACGCGAAACTGTAACACCCTAAATTAAATAAATTTATAGTATCTACTTTGGGTTTCATTTATATAATCGCAACAAAAATAGAGTTGACACTGAGATATGCTTACAATTTAATAATGTAAAAACGAATATAGTATTGTTTTTTGTGATTCAATTTTGTTGTAGGTGTAGTGAAAACAATTGTTTTCTAGTGCACACGTTTCTTATTTCTAACAATCGCGAATTCTGGAATTGGGGCTGATCATTATTTAGGGTACAAAAAGATATTTAACTTCTATATTTTTATTTTCCATTCAAACAACAGTACATATCCTAATTCACTTTAGTTAGAACAGAAGCTTTGGAGTGAACAGGAGCTTGGAATGCAACACTTTGTTACTGAATATTATTTACACATCTGTTTCAAGCAATATCACATATAAAATTCCGATTTATCTGAATATATCGATTGGAAGGCAAAACGATGCATTTCCACTTATTGTTTGTGCAAACAAAAATAAATAGACCAGCGAAAAATATATTTGTCTTTAAAACGTTCTAGCAACACATATATGGCTTTAAATATCAACACGATATAATTTTGTTATCGTTATACAATGAAATACATTAACTATTAACAACTTACTAATAAGTAATATCTTACAAGGTTTCGATACGACTTTCTGATCGTTGTCTTGAGCACCGAGTGCAAATAACAATAGGTACATAAATAAATCATATTATCATTTAATTGCAGTAATAAATAGGAAACATGATCATTTGATTAATCTCTTAAAATAAAAACAACGTTGCAGACTTTCAAACCTAAAGACGGTAGTTTTGGAAAGGCTAAGAGACCAGTCGCCGCAACGCGATTTAAGTTTGTTCTGAAGGTCGTATCTGAGGGTAATCAATCGCTTAGTGGCGGGAGTCTCTGGGGTAGAACTCTGCGAGGGTGGCGGCGGGGATACGCTTCAGCATCTCCTTGGGGAAGATACGGAGTAGCTGCCAGCCGATGTCGAGAGACTCGAATACGGTACGGTTCTCGTAGTTGCTCTGAAAAGGTTGTGATTTACGTTAGTCCAATTAAACAAATACTTATATCAGAATAAATATGTATTAGTAAATATTCTGATGAATTGAAACTAACCTGTGTGATGAAGTTCTTCTCGAACTTGGTCAAGAACTCGAGGTACAGCAAATCGTCAGGTGTTAGGGCCTCCTCTCCTACGACGGCCTTCATGGCTTGTACGTCCTTACCGATAGCGTAACACGCGTACTGAAAATGGATACTAATTATTATTAGGCATATGAAGTATTTTGATTAAACAAGCCGGAAGTGCTAGCGTAAATTATATTTTAAATGAACGTTTAAATATGTCTTTGGACCAGATAAAGGGGTATACTAAAATGTTATATGAAATCAGTGAATGAGATACTGACCAGTTGGTTAGAGACGTCAGAGTGGTCCTTCCTGGTCATGCCCTCACCGATGGCAGACTTCATCAAACGTGACAGAGATGGCAGCACGTTAACTGGTGGGTAGATTTGACGGTTGTGTAGTTGACGGTCGACGTAGATCTAGGTTTAGGCAATATTATTAATTAGTATTTATATATTAATTAGTATTTATAAATTAATAAAATTAATTTGAACTGCAGAAATTATAACAGTAACAGTAATCTTACGACAAATCTAGATACTATTAAGTGCTAAAATAATTTCCCATTCTTGTATTACACACCTGTCCCTCAGTAATATAACCCGTCAAATCGGGAATTGGATGGGTGATATCGTCGTTAGGCATAGTAAGAATGGGGATCTGAGTGATGGATCCGTTGCGGCCTTCGACACGTCCAGCACGCTCGTAGATTGTGGCCAAATCCGTGTACATGTAACCTGCAAGGCATAGCATAACATTAAAATCAACATTTAATTATTTTTCATCATTTTGTAGCTTCTATTTTGTGGTCACACCATACACACTCACACAGTTCTTTAAATGTAATTTAACTTTTTAAACAAAAATATCGATCTAAGAGTTTTAAGATACTTCTCAGTCACCTGGTATGCTTTCAGGAATACATTCCAGTAAAAAGTATTAGGACTTATATAGTATAAAAAAACTACATGGATAGGCCATCATACATTTTTTCAATATTTTCTACACAAAACAGACCTGGGAAACCACGTCGTCCGGGTACTTCCTCACGAGCGGCGGACACCTCACGAAGGGCCTCAGCGTATGAGGACATGTCAGTCAAGATGACGAGCACGTGTTTCTTTTAAAAAAAATATTAGTATGTAAAGCGAGTCTATAATGGACTATTTGACACTGAGAGAGACTGTCTTTATTAATTGAAAATTGCTGAATACGTACCTCGCACTGGTAAGCCAAGAACTCAGCGGCAGTTAAAGCCAAACGCGGTGTGATGATTCTCTCAATGGTAGGGTCGTTGGCCAAGTTCAAGAAGAGGCACACATTCTCCATAGAACCGTTTTCTTCGAAGTCCTGTTTGAAAAATCGGGCTGTCTCCATGTTAACACCCATAGCGGCGAACACGATAGCGAAGTTGTCTTCGTGGTCGTCAAGGACTGATTTGCCGGGGACCTGTACGAGCATTGAACTTAATGTGATATTTTAGCTTATATCTATAGTATATGTTAGTAGGTCACATTATATAAAACAGATTTAACGCCTTAGAGCGTAATTTTTATTTATTATAAACAATTAAAACGGCAATAGCCGTAATATTTCTTAACAACAACTACCTGACATTTCTGGTTTTGACCTATTTTTTTTGTCTATAAGATTATTAAGGAAATTATTATATTTTAGACTAGGACATCTTGACCAACGCATGAGTTTTAAGAAATTAAACTGACCTTGACAAGACCGGCCTGCCTACAGATCTGAGCAGCAATTTCGTTATGCGGTAAACCAGCCGCAGAGAAAATGGGAATCTTTTGCCCACGGGCAATGGAGTTCATCACATCAATAGCGGAAATACCTGTATAAATACGATTATCAATACGCACATAAATAATTTGTTGTTTGTTTCATTGCTATGTTTATAGAATGGAGCACCACTAAACTCGATACTGTAATACTACTTATCTCTGCAGAAAAATCTATGGGATGTCAAACCACATAACCCAGCATAATATTGTCAACCAGCAACAAGTTCTTTTTTTAAATCTATTTTATTACAGTGAGTTAAAGAAAATATTAGAATAAAGATCTGTTCATAAAAACTTCCATACCGGTTTGGATCATTTCCTCAGGGTAAATACGCGACCAAGGGTTGATAGGTTGTCCCTGGATATCCAAGAAGTCTTCAGCAAGAATTGGGGGACCCTTGTCGATGGGTTTTCCTGAACCGTTGAACACACGGCCTGGCAAAAAAATAATTATCCGTAAACTGCTTATTTCTATGAAAATTTAATATCTATTAAACATATGTCAAAAATAAATATATCTACTTACCCAACATGTCCTCAGACACAGGTGTACGGAGAATGTCGCCGGTGAACTCACAAAGGGTGTTTTTGGCGTCGATGCCCGAGGTACCTTCAAATACTTGGACAACAGCCTTTGAGCCACTGACTTCCAATACCTTTAACATTTCAAAATTTGTAACACAAATGTTTTAACCATTTTATTTTTTATGAGGCTCTTTTATTGAACATATTACATATTTACTTTCAGCCTTTGGGCCGAAACAAGGTTTTTAATGGCAATGTATAAAAAAAATGGGGACGGACACATAGATTTCAGAACACACTGTTACTTTTTTGTTATACAATTTACTACTTAAAGAATAATTAATAATATTTATTAAAACTTAGTTCAATTATACTATTAGCAATTAACATCTAATATAACAATAATTGCTACCTCAACATAAACATATTTTTATTTAGATAGAAAAAATAATTTATAAATATAGGAGTACCTGTCCAGAACGAAGGGAGCCATCTGCAAGCTTCAGTTGTACGATCTCAGAGAATTTGGGGAACTTCACCTCATCGAGGATTACTAGTGGCCCGTTTACTCCTGATACTGTCTTGTATGCTGCAATAAATATTTCCATAAAATAGCACCATTTTCTTAAAAACTGAATAATGATATAGACTATACACGAGGAATGCCTGTCATACATAAAGTATCAATTTACCATAAAGTCAATTATCCCTACTATTGAGCTAAGAAACTCATTAGTTTTATTTCCAATTTGAAAACACTTTAATGTGTAAATCAAAGCTAAAATTACCCTTTTTCACTTTATCTATAGTATAAGTAACGGACTAATAAAAAGATACTTTGATTCCTACCGGACAGTCAAAAGATACATATTTTTAAGTCACATTTATCGTATCAATCAATATAAAATCAAGTTGTTGCTTGTAGTACACAATACAGTATGACATTGTATCAAATTCTAATAAATAAAAGTTACATAGAATGTTTATAGTATAAGAACATTCCCATCATAATCAGCTGATTAATTATAACTATTATTTTGACATTTTTTATTAGCTTTTATACAATGCCATAGAATATTTCTTACATATAATATATTTTTTATCTAATACAAAATGTTCATACCAGTTGTAGAGATTTTAAGTAAACTGTAGAGGATCACATGACATAGACATATAGAAAAAAAAACCTTCAAAGCTTAAGTTTTATACTTTTAGTAGATTATCACATGACAATAAGTAATAAGGGATAAATGTTACAGCAATAAGAAAGGGCGTATCTCAAATACCTTAAGAATGTCGAATACTACGATCATCACGAGTTTAAGACTCGGTACTCCCTAAACGGTATGAAATATGTACGTACAAAGTTTGTGCAGATTTTAGTACTCTCTAGATAATGTCTAGTAAGATTTTGATTGGATAGTTTTCAAGGCGATAAAATATCCCACATCTTCGACAAGAATTTAATACATTTACCAAAAATTATCAGAATAATAAATACGTTTAAAGCATATATAATCAAAAATATAGCTTAATGATGCAGAAAATCAATAGTACGATATAGAACTAGTGCCAACCTCAGACCAAAAGAAAAAAAATTAAAGTCATGAAAATTTGTTACTTACTTAAACGGGGTTGGGAAATGAAATCCCTGGATACCACAAGGGCATGCTCCTTGTTTGCTTGTTGTAACGAGATGGTTTTCGCCATGTTTTAGTTTCCTATAGGCAGGCCGTTCAATAAAACACCAAACTGCGCTGCCTCCGCTGCCAAAAACTGACGAATGGACGAATTGTCTATGAGATTTCACGTGCCGTCACGTGATCAATCACAAGAAAATTCTTGCCATTCTGGAAAAATATGAAATAGACTATACCACAATATATTATATTTATATATTCATCGTTTAAAAATATATGTTATCTGAAAAGAAAGTATTAAAAAAGTTTTAAAAGAAGTTGATGTTGATATGTTATTTATTTGATGTTTATTTGTTTAAAATAAGCCATTGTTTAGAAAAACACCTCTAAATTTTGTTAAGCAGAGCCAGTTTTAACGTTTGTTTACAGACAATGATTTTCACAGATAAGAATCTTAAGTCCGTGTTTCATCCTTTTGAAAACCACTATTCGGTTTGTTTTTTTTATAAACTATGGAGTTCCTGAAAGAAAACCTCATCGTTAATGTAGTATTTTAATGTACATAGGAAATCGAAGGACGAGAGTTTAATGTTTGTATTTAAATGATTTGAGTTTCATTTAAAGTCATGACAGTCAGAAAGTCAATATATACACGACACATAAATAATTATGTGATCTGTGGCGCATTGCCTGTTTTCAATTTTCGCCAATTGCACAATTATATATGGGACGCATACACCACTCAACACAGTTTTTTATAATATAAATTATAGGGATTTTTTTTAACCATACATCACTCACGCACAGGATAATTTCTCGAAACCCACATCCATTAAAATCCGCGAAGCCACCCTACGGCCTACATTTCCCCTGTCCCCTCACCCTCGTCCCGCATTCGCCTGCAGGCTAGCAATACGTATATAACTATACACAGACACATTCATAAATATTATCACAATCATAATAACTCGCCGATTCCTTCGGTCAAACGTAGTGAATAGTGATTACTTGCTCAGTGCCGTCGGCAAGCGGGCATCCGTGAGAGGTGTCGTCGGCTTTTTTTTTCAAATTTTATAGGGGGATACCATCTGCTATCATTATTTATATATTTTTTCCACTCGAGTGCTAATTCTCAATTACAATTAACGTTAAGTTAGTGTGTTCAAGATGTCTGTAATTGGAAAAGTTGTGGCGCCCAACGTATCGTATAAATTCGGAAAATTAGGCGCGTCATTACTATCGGTTAAATATAATCGTAGCTATTTTACGTACACTCAAGAATTATCACAACCTCTAGACAGGAAACCTGAGTTTGTCAGCGCTAAAGAAGCATTTGAAAAATGTCTAAAATCAGGTAATTTTTCGATCTCCTACCGCCTACCTTGAATAACTTTGAAAGGATAATGACTCATCTGTTCTGTTTCTAATTTCAAAAACAGAAGTTTTTATACCTATCAAAAAGTCAAAATAAATTTAAGGAATATCTGTCTTGTTTTCCACCTCAATAATACCTGCTATCTTCTATTGTTACTTATATTAAATTCTATCAAGGTAAAACCTAATATGAAACTAATAGGAATAATTTAAGAAACAGCACAATTTTTATCTTTATTTTATACTTGGGTATTTGTGTATGTTGTTGAACTAGAAGTAATAATTATTGCCACATTATACATTAAATATAAAATAAAATAAAAACTAAAGTGTATACTTCCCTAAATTCAAATGCAGGTAGGTATGTATCATTTGAATTTAACTTTCTTTGTTATATGGGTACACAATCTAATTTCTTACTAATCGAAAGTATATTCCTATAAAGCCAATTAAAATGCTTAAATTAACTGCATAACATTGGCAGTTTGTTACCTATCTTGTAATGTAATAAGGACCTTAGAAAAATAATTTCTCTTTACAATAATAGTTTGTTACACAAACTTCAAATTGCCATTTATTTTTCAAAGAATTGTTATAAGAATATAAAAGTATTTTGAGGCTCTAATATAGTGTGTTTCTATTATAGATAGAATAAAAAAATATTTGTTCTCCCATACAAGAGACATGCGGTTATTAAAAAAATCACTTACAGGTTAAATGTAGATTTGAGAAATTAATAGTGCTTAAAGACTATTCTTGTTTATAATTTCTGTTGTCAACAATAACAAAGCATTGACAACCTTGTTTTCTAGTTTACTGTGAGTGAAGATCGAGTTCAAAGTACAATTGTAATGTAATTGATACAGAAATAGATCAATCTTATCAATACTGACTACTTAAATACAGATAAGTGTGAATTAATTAAGAGCAGTAAGATACCAGTGGCATAGGAATGGGAGACAGAGATACCCCTAAAATTAAAAACAACATGTTGGAAAAATATATAGTTTTGTTTTGACCAAGAAACCATTACTTTTTGATTGATTGTTACTATTATGTATGACCCAATGAAATAAATATATATTATGTAATACTACAATTTACATTTTTGATTTTATGTACTATGAACATAGCTAATCTTATATATTTATTTCTTGTAACCTTGTGTAAACAATGTAAAATCAGGTTGAAATTTGCATTATGTTGTGATAGCAATAATAATGAATAACACTGTGTAGATATTTTGTTATAAATATTTTGTGAAAAATAATAGTTTTGACGATATTATTATAGAAGTATTTAGTATGTTTCAGTTTATTTAGACACAGAGCATGCAGTATCCTTACAACTTAAAAAAAAAAGTGTTATTTCTATTAGCTAATTATCTTGGATTTTATATTTTTCATAATATAATAACTTTAGTTCACATCGGGAGCACTTGTTCTGTATCCACCTTTACGTGTACGTGTCTTTTAATGCTATAATCATTTGAATAATAAAAGGCCTACGTGCAAGCCAACTGCATGTGACTTCAGCTTAAAAATCTTATTATTTATATGTTTATCAACCTACATAATGTAACGAGTAATTTTATACTATAACCTCCCTTAGGGTATAAGGCCGCTTTTTTAAAATCCACCTCGGATAATATTCTCATACAAACATTTTATCGCGATTTTGTATAATCGCCAGGCTAAAAAAGGGTTTAGCACTGGTAACAGGTTAACCAAATGATTATTTAAAATAAATAACTCTATAAATGTGATAATAAGTATAAACAAGTGCTATCTGCCACGCCTATGAGGTCAGTATTAATAAACAAATTGAGCCGTTGAACAAAATGCCAATAACCTTCTAGTTCCTACTTAATTCTCGTGGGTTATCATTAATATGACGAAGTACGTTTTAATAAAATAATCTATACTAATATTATAAAGCTGAAGAGTTTGTTTGTTTGAACACTCAAATATCGGGAACTACTACTTCTAATTGAATTTATATTTGAATTGGTTGGACCACTTATCGAGGAAGGATTTAGACTATAAATGGTAGGGAAGAAACAGGGAAATGTGGAAAAAAAGGGGAAAACTGTTCATTTTTGCGAGATTCCAAAAATAAAAATATTCTTCACAAAAGCTTCAGAGGGGAATGTCTCCCCCGCTTGTGCAAAAATATATTTTTCGTCGTCTTAATACTACCTCGATAATGCTGATAATAAACATATCTGAGAATGTGAACTTGAATAACCGGTTACTAAGAGAATAAAGTATTCTCCAAATGGGGCACTGAATAATGAATATGGAGAGAATATATAGGATAGAACTAGCGCAAAAGACATTTTTCTGTGTCTGTTTTACAATTAAATTTCTACAGGGAAATCTTGAAAATACTTCTGTGCCATAACTATTACTTCTCTACTCCTAGTACGATACAATTACGCCGGGACTCAAACCCAGATCGTTCGACCTCCGACCCAAAGGGGGAGGGTACAGATATATAAAAGAACGTATTAACATTGTTGCGATTTTGTGATCAACACACATGCGTGCCCAATCGCAGACTAAATATAGCGATGCGAAATTACGTGTTATTTTGATTCGAAGAGCTATACTTCGAAAGAGATCCACCTAAAATATAATCAAGTTGTTTGTGTTGTTAATTACGGCTTTTACATTTTAAATACCAGCAATAAAATTGTTGTTATGATAATATAAGATCCGGACCTGGAAAACCATATGAAATTATAACGACTAAGATTATAGTACGACGAAATTTAATTCCCATAAAAACGATTCTTGTGAGTTAATTTAAAAAATAGAGATGTGATGTTAATTTTCCAATTCAAATAAGTAGGTCCTGAGATAAGCGCGTTCAAACAAACAAACTCTGCAGCTTTGTAATATTATATTATATAAAAATACATATTTACATTTAAAAATTTAATATTTATCACGATGGCATTATATAATTAAAAAATTGATCTTAGTTTTTAGAAGAAAAAACTGAAACGGTTGTGCTCACGCTAGCTTGATACATAATAGATGCCAGTTTAAATCCGACACGTGTCGTAATTTTTAATATTGTTAAAATTGTTCACATCCATGCTTTGATGTGCATAAAAGAGCAACAAGAATTTTGTTTTAAGGAAAATATGCTTCTTTTAGGTTTTCGGTTTCACCGACCGTGACACACATTTTGATTTACTGGTAAGGTCTTTTACCTTAATATTGCGATATCAACTAATACTTACAGTGCATAAATTCATTAAGTGTTATATCAGCTTAAGAGTCTTTAAATCGTCGTAATTATCACACTCGTAGCGGTTTAAAACAGGAGTTATTAAAATTTAGTTATTTCACTACTCGATATTCGCATATGGAGCGTTACAAACCGTTAATAAGTGTTCTATTTTATGTGTAGTGTTTAGAACACATCGCAGAAAGTACACTTCCTGATATTTCATAACAGTTCAATCTCTGGCTGTATCAACTTTGAAAATGAATATAACTTCTCGTGGGTAATCTCAGTGTTTCAACTTTTAAGAGTATGTTTAAACGAGATCTTAAATGTAAGCATGATTACAATAAAAATAATAACATATTAAGTAATAGGAACAGTATTCCCTTTTTAAAAAATCTTTATTTATTTACACATCACCTTTTTAATTTCTAACCAAAAGCTATATGATTGTATTAAAAAATGTTTATAGCCTGAGCAGGACTAGAACCCACAACAGTTTCCTAGCTGTTGCTCTCGTCGATGAAGTAAGGCATCGTGTCCCGATCTTCGTATTCATCGTATATATTATACATGCACCTCCAAACTTATTTACAAATTAATGTTCCAGGTCAAACAGTGTTCTCTCAAGGTGCAGCGGCAACCCCCTTTCGTTTACTGGACGCTATGACGGACGTCGGCGTTGCTGGTTCATTGAGAGACATCAAAGTTGTCCATATGCACACTGAAATGGAAGCCAAATATGTCGCGCCCGAATGCAAGGATATTTTCAGGTGAAAAAATATCAAGAATGTCTGTAACGACTTGGAAAAATTATATTTACTTACAGTGCTCTCCAAACTTTTTGGCCGGGCTGAAGTGCGCGGGTACGGGGCGACCCGACTTTTTGCCCAAAAACGACAGTACCATGCGCAAGATAGCGGTCGCGCTAACTTCAGCCCGGTCAAAAAGTTTTTAGAGAACTTTACTTCTTATACTTGCTAACCCCGCCTTCCAGGCTTAAATTTAATTTCGTTCAGCATTTTAACTCAGAGGTCTTGATTTTGAATTACAACAGGTAAAAAAAGTCACACGAACTTTAAATAAAATCGATTATAAGACATCGCAACGTGTTTGCGACATCTGTGTATACATCACATTAGTTTTAATCTAACACAAATATATATGAATATATCTAGTCAAATAGACAGTATTTGTTGTTATTGGACAGTTAGTAGTCTACGCGAATATTCCACATTTATATAACACTTAGAGTGTTAGTTAGAGAAATATATTAGTTAAATTTGTTAAAAAAATATTTTATCTACAACCCGACGTTTCGGATGCTTTTCTGCTGTAGTACGTAGTTAAAATAATGTTGAAATAAGTTTGACTAATATATTTCGCCTTTTAAACCGTTAAAGTGTTTTATGTAAATAAAACTAGTCAAATTTGTTGTGTTCACATCAAATACCTTATATTTTTACAGTTTTTAGGCTACGGACTTCTGTAAATCCAAAGACAGCATAGATTGACGGCGCATCTTGATTAGGCATTGTATGACTGGGCCATTATCTTTTTCGTCAAAATGTCATTTATAGCATTTAGAGTGCAATTTTCATAATGCTATTGATTGTAGCCTAATTGTCCAATTTAAAGGTTTTATGTTTATCACATGTCAACAAGGGTATTTGATAAACGATAAGATAAGGATTGACTTTGCTTATCTCGACAGCAACCAAATGTATCATGTCATTTCTGATGCCGAATTATGATAGATATAGAAGCTGGAGTTGGTTCCAAACAGTTATTTAAGAAATAATATTATTTTATTTTTATAGACATGCACGGAGAAAATATATCAGTGTCCTCTATACAATATGTATAAACAATATACCAATTAATATATAACACAACGCCATTTGAACATTAAATTTTGGATACTTGACGGGCTTGTTGCAATTTCGGGCTAATAATTAACGGGTCGTGGCTTCGATACCGAGTCCAACAATTTTGTGATTTTTTTGAAACTTGTTAGACCTTGTTTGGAAATCTGAATATGAAACGGGTGGTAAGAATATCGAAATTCACAGATGAAAAAGCCGTGATTTAATTAAACGTGATTTCAGTCTGTGGATTTCCGATTAAAGCCAAAATAGGCCACCAGCGCACCCTTGTTTAGAAGCTGAGATATGTCACCTACCACCAAGTCAACCACATGCTTGTCTGTCCTCTAACATAATATACGTATACGTTGAACGGTATTAAACGCGAAGTATATACGTTAACTTATTTTTAACGAATACTGGAAGGGACTTGTGGTTTCTTGGTATTAAACTGATATGACTTGGATAGTACCAGCCGCATTTATGGTTTGCCAATAACAGAGTATAAATAATGTTTATAGTTTACGCGACTAGTACACATTTAAAGTTAAAAATCTTTTTCAGATAAGTTTAACTATTATATCGCATTTTAAACCGTTAAAGTGTTTTATTTAAATAACAGAGTATATTTTCTGCCCGAGTCGAAATTTTTTTTAATTTATTTTCGATTTTTAAATTATAGAGTATATTTTATTATTCACCAGATCTGTGTCCCTGTTTATGGCAGCCAATGTAAGGAAGTCAGTGGCAGAAGGCAGATCAGACGCGATTCCCATATTCTTGCAAGACATCCCCAAGTTATTCCATAGAAAGATTATTCAACCTGACATTGCTGTTATCCAGGTAAATACAAATGTATTCGTTACTTTTGCATGCATTACAGTGTATGTTATGAAGCTGCTAGAACCATAGTGGCCTAATAACAAAAGATTTCAATAGGGAGGAAATAAAAATGCGCAATTAATTTAGGCGAAAATGAATTTGTACTACTATTTTCAGTTACTGTACTCTTGTAGATTAACATCTTTAGACTATAAAATATAAATAATTGAAGTCATAAATATGCAGTTAGGCTACTCTATCTTTAGGGGCCTCATATATGCGCGCGTGCATTTTTAAAGTTACAATCGTTGTGCTGATAAATAGGTATAATGGCTTGGGCACCCCAAAAGCAGTTGCAGTGCGTCTACATTAGTAAATAATGTAGTTATATGAGGGATGACACACTGAACAAACGCACGCCTGCTGAACCTACCTGCTGTGCCACGGCGCCGCGCACGCACTGCTCTTTCACAATACACTTCGACGGTAGGACGGTGGCGGCAAAGGTGCGGGACCGCCGCTTTTTTTTTGAGATGACGTATTGAGCCCAGGGCTTCGAATGACCGGACGTTAGAGTGAGCGTGCTAACGCTCGCCGTGTTTGCGGCTAGACCAAGGGTGCCCCGCCCTGCTTTTGGTGTACCCAAGCCTTAAACGTACTGTGATCCATGTATTGTCTTGTGATCCACCTCTAATTATGTGTATTTTCCAGGTATCACCCCCAGACCAGCATGGCTACTGTAGTTTGGGTACTTCAGTGGACTGTGTCAGAGCTGCACTAGTCAATTCTAAAATAATTATAGGTAAATATCGTTTGTAACTAAAGTCCCAATGCTGGCTTTTGGGTTTTTTTTTATCTTCCATATAAGATCATAGTATAAGATCTCAGACCCTCTCCACCCTTCTCTGGTAGTGGTTGGCGGGCTACCGTCCCTAAATTACTGGTGTTAACCGGGTCTTTACTACTTTACGGAATCTCCGAGGCACAAGGGCACCTCCTACTTTCAACCTTTAGTCTGGTACAAAAAATATTTTTATAAAACAGTCCAGATACTGATTATACTTTTGCCAGATTCAGGATTCGAACCCAGGCTTTGCTTGGGTTAAGTCATTATCAGATAGATTTGAGTGACTAGACGACGAGGCCGGCATGTACATATCTATCAGAAGTGATATATTTCCAATAATAATATTCAGCGACAATCTAATAAGTTTTTGAAACGCTCATTGAAATAAATGTACAGTAAATCTGGTTAATTGGAGTCTCTCGAATCATCTCAAGGGACTAAGGCATATGTACCAATTACCGATTATTGAGGGTTTCCAATAATCCAGTTTTCCAATTAAGCAAGCTTAAAATTAATTGGTCTCACTTATACAAGTAATCAAGCTCTACAGACTAAGGTAAACGTTGAAAAAGTCTTAGAATTTAAATCTCATTTAATAAGTTTCAAAAAGTTCCATTAACTGAAGTCATTTAATAAAAAAGAACCGGGACATTGCTACTCTAAATAATAGAGGTTTCTCATTTATCCAGGTGCAACATAAACATCTTTCACAGCTATTTAAAACCACAGCTGCCGCAAAGCATCCAAAACGTCGGGTCGTAGATAAAAAAAATTCAAATAAGTTTAACTAAAATATATCGCGTTTTAAACCGTTAAAGTGTTTTATTTATATGTGTACTACCCGCGTAAACTACAGACAGGTTTCAGTGTATATATAATACTGTATATTTTATCTCCTTTAGCTCAGATAAACTCTCACATGCCCCGTACATTCGGTGATGCTATAATCCACGTGTCCCACGTGGACTATGCGGTGGAAGATCATTCTCCTCTACCATCACACGGAGGGAAGCCAGCCAGTCCAGAAGAGATGAAGATTGGAGAACTCATCGGAGACAATCTAGTGGAAGACGGCGCTACTCTACAAATGGGTATTTTATGTTGCCTATTGTACTATGTTAATGTAATTTACTAAGAAATTTTGGAATTGAACTTATGAGGTCCTGCTTAAAATAAAAAGTGACTAATGCTTTGAATCAATTTTTACAAGGCGATTTTTTCCTTTTTATTGATATTATTCTACTTCAAAAATGAAAAAATCAGTATTAATTGACTGTTTTTGAATAGAAATCGTTCACTGTAATTACATTTATGTTACTTTTAAATCGATCAATTTTCAATTACAGGTATCGGAAATATACCAGATGCAGTTCTTTCCTCTCTAAAGAACCACAAAGATTTGGGTATACATTCAGAGATGTTTAGTGTCGGGGTTATTAACCTTGTAAAACGCGGTTGCGTTACAAACAATAGGTAAGTTAAAAACTATATAATACACATATATGTACATACATCATAATATCTTACTATAATAAATAAGAATGTTTAAAAGAATAGATAAAAGCATGTGTACTCTGATTACTATCTAGCTATCTTCGTCCGCTTAGAATAAATTATAAATTAAATCTCACGACGTCCCCGCGCCCCGTCGTTCGTGCAAGTTAATCTTAAAAGATGGACATTTATTGTCGCAAACACTTTTTACATCATTTAAAGAGGAATCATTCTTTCATACATAATATGTTTTGGGTAGCTTGAACCGTTTTCGCGGCGTACGCAACGGAAACCCAAGAATAAATAATTTTCCCCGTTTTTTTCACATTTTCTACTATTTCGTCGCTCCTGTTAATCGCAGCCTATCCTACTTTGATAAATATTTGAACCAAGACAAAAATATTTTTTCAATTGGAACCAGTTTCAGTTTCATATATTATCATTATTATATCAGTTTTATATATTAGTGTAGATGAAACTACGCTTAATTATACATAACTCAAGAGACCTACAAAAATTATTTGCATTTCCAGAAAGAAATTCCACAAGGGCCGCATAGTGGGCAGCTTTCTGGTTGGCAATCGGGATTTGTACGACTTCGTCGATAATAACCCTTTCATTGGTGAGATTTTATTTGAATTGACGTATTATTAAACGAAAATATTTGCAATGTACGGACTAGCTCTGTTACAAAGATAAGCTTTGAGGCGAAACAACATCCTACTTTTAAAAACTTTATTAACATTACATGAAAGGTGGCGGCAAGGTAGCTCTATTGGTCAGATCAACTCTATTGGTTGTTAGGCAAGCGAACGAAGAAACGTGTTTGATCGGTCCGTTAGGTTCGGAAACACATTTCTTATTGTGTAGGATTAAAAATGTTTATTAATTTAAAATAAATATTTTTAATACAAAAACATTTAGTGGTCAATCAATTTTTTAAGAAGTTTTAAATTAAATGTGGGTGTTAGAAATATCCAACTGGACGAACCACATTGCAGACCACCGTTCACAGATAAAAAAGCACAGTGTGTATATTCATAATGTTAATCCTTAGTTTTAGTCTGTAGATTTCTGAATTTCAGAAGCCAGAAGAACAACATTTTCAATAGGTTCCCCTCTTCCCCCCCCCCCACACATCTTTGCTAAGTCATGCTGTTACTAATCAATAATTGCATTTGTTAGAAATGTTGGAGATAGACTACGTGAACAACACTCATATCGTTTCGCTACAGCCCACCATGACAGCGATTAACTCCTGTATCGAAGTGGACATAACTGGACAAGTATGTGCTGACTCCATTGGTAAGTAATACTTTCAACCTTCATAACAAAAACAAAAAATACTTTAGTGTAACTTATATTACGTCATTTTTATAGATAATACTCATACATATAATAGCCCGACTTCATGGAAAACTGCTTATCCGTTTATAGCACCCAATCTCACAGGATGTCGAGATATTACTTTAAATAATTTTAATTACTGGCTCGATGGTGTAATGATAGCAATGGTAGCTACGGGTCGTGGGTTCGATCCCCACCGGGTTCGACATTTTTCTAACTAATTTATAATTTTTCCGAAACATGTTGGACTACGTCTGAATCTGGATATAAAATGCGTTGTAGGATATCGAAATTCCGTCCGTATCACGAACCGCCGTCTACAAATTTAAAAGCCGATTTCTGTATATCAAAAGCCAAGATAAGTCAACACGCATCTTGTTTAGATGCTGTTGGCTGGGCTATTTTACCTACTATCAAGTGTACCCTATGCTTGTCTGTCTTCCTCTATCATTAAAAAAATTTGTTAGGCGTGACTAAGCCTATACTATTTTGTTTCAACGTCATAAAATTAATATAAATGAGAAATAATTTTCACAGGTACCCGCATGTACTCCGGTTTCGGAGGGCAAGTTGACTTTATTCGTGGGGCTGCCGAATCTGTCGATGGTAAAGGGAAACCGATAATCGCTATTGTGTCGTCGACTAAGAAGGGCGAAAGCAAGATCGTGCCTACCCTCAAAAACGGTATGTTTAAAATCATATATTATAGTAATACTGGAAACTATTTTTGATTATTGATTAAAGCTATCAATATTTTCAATCACACACGGTCCCTTAATAAACATTGTGAAATTATAAAATAATGTAAATTATGACATGTTAAAAGGACCTTTAGAATACTTTTAGATTTTAAGTTGAACTTTGACATGTAAAGTTATAAATATATATATTTAAACCAAATTGGCTACCTATTTTAAAATCCCATTAACTGTACACTCAAATAGTCATTTTTTCCCATTAGGTGCGGGGGTAGTATCGACTCGTGCGCACGTACACTACGTGGTCACAGAGCAGGGTATTGCCTACTTATTCGGTAAAAGTCTTCGCCAGCGGGCCTATGAACTCATAAAAATAGCCCACCCAGATCATCGCGAGGCTCTTGAGAAAGCTGCTTTCGAACGTCTGAAGTGTATGCCATCGCCTTAAATGAAAAATGTTTGAATGGTCTAAAAATATGTGGGCTTAGTTTCGCATTACGCTGCGTCAAGAACTTTGCTATTAGACACTATTTATTAGTATTCAAAATCACCAAACGTTTAAAAAGTAAGCATCTTGAGGCCGCAAGTGTTTGAAACACGGCCTTTACATATATTTTGTAATGCGACCATAACTTTATAATGCGTTTATAAATAATTATGATAGACTGGACACCATGTTACCTAGAATTTGTATTATGTACTTTGTTAATTGTTGTGCTTCATATTCATTGTATTTCATATTTTTTTATTCCCTTGAATCAATATAGATACGGGATCATTGTTTTTCGAGAAAAAAACAATCAAAAAACTAGAGTTCAGAAATAACTATTAATTTTAATATCATTCATTTATTTAGTACCTTCTAAAAATTTATTTCAAACACTTAATGTGACATAAAAAAAAACCTGAATGAATGATTTGTTCACTTCTTAAAAACAATTTTATTATACTTTAGTACCTACGAATTTACTTTCAAATCAAATTCCAATTTAAAGCATTTGATTTTTTTATACTTTATTTATTTTTTATGTTTTTTTTTTAATAAAATATGTTTATAGGTAAGAATAATTAGTGGTGATATGTATTATAAAAACAAACCCATAAAGGAAACATGTTGTTGTTAAGGCACATATTAAACATAAAAATACAAAAATTTAAAAATGTTTTTCATTTCATATACCTGCTTTCTGATAACGCTTTGCACTCGGCAAATACCTCTTGCCACTAGCTGTGACAGCGACTTTGTCCGCGTAGAACAGTTCTAATTTTTTTTAATGAGACCTATTCTACGCTGATCGCGTCGCGTCGTTAATGCTACTTTATCTTAAAATATAGACATATAATGTCGCAGACATTTTTAGATCATTTATAGAGGAATCATTCTGTCATATATTTTTTGGGTATTTTAAACCGTTTTTGAAACGCGCACGTAACGGAAACCCTCAAGGATTAATAATTACCCCCGTTTTTCCACCTTTCCTACTGTTTCTTTGCTCTTATTGGGCGATGCGTGATGTTTAATAGCCTAAAGCCTTCCTCGATGATTAGTCCCACTACCGCAAATTTTCCCAATAATTTCTCAATTCGACCCAGTAGTTCCTGATATAAGCGCGTTCAAACAAACAAACTCTTCAGCTTTATAACATTAGTATAGATTCTAATTTAATTAATACAGATTGTAATAAAGACCAGTTGAATTAAATTTACTCTCTAAATAATAATATCTAAAATGCAAACTGTACTTAGTATTAATAATTTATACTACGCATTGGTTGCGTGAAGACAAGCAATCATATAGAAATATCAAAGAGGCTTTTCTATAAAGGTAACCTTTATAGAAAAGCCTCGGCTTAAAGTTTTTATTATGTCTCGTAAAAAAGATAGCACTAGTGTTTTTCTTCTTCTTATTCTTCATTTAACAATGTCCAATGTCTTGTATCCTTGGGAAAGTCGGTGACAGATAATAGTACATACGAAGAAGACCACACAAATTCTTCCAATAATTCACATCGCTTACCTCTCTCTATCAATAGACTATATTTATACACTAAACTGAAAACTCAAAAGTCAGCTTGATAGTTAACACTGTCAAATAACAATATCAGTATCTATTATTATTTATGACTAATGTTCATTACACCGTATCTGTGTTAGGAACAACAGTGCAATAAGCAATCACAAAAGTTAAGCACTGTTGTTGTTATGGCTTCAATCAGACAAATAAGTTTTAAATTTAAAGACTTAATTATTGCTGAAAAATACAAATTTGTAAGAAAAATTGGTGGTGGTTCATTTGGTGACCTTTATCTAGCAATAAACGTTGGATGTGGAGAGGTAAGTTACTTGTATCTTATGAAAATAGTAACACATACCCTCTTCTGCAATTTAATGTACGTATCTCTAAAATCTTTAAGCCAATTTACATATCAAATATTAAAAGGTAATAAGATGAGCAACATTTTATTGCTATCTTACTAAAAGTTACTACAGCTATACCAAATGCTCCCATTGTGGTTTTGATTTTTCAAAAAAAAAAACAGAATTACTACTATTTTAAACAAAAACTACTATTAAATAAAAAAATGCTACAAATTACATAAATAACATTTTATATTTCATGCCCTTTCCTTGCTGTTTTATATTTGTATATAGTTGTCGCTTATCCACTTAATATACCAACATTGGTTGTAGTATATACTTTTTTCTATTGTAATACAACTCTTTAACAATTTTAATACAAGATAAATTAAGTAAAGAGCACAAACTGGCAGCATTAAATCTAGTTATCTTTTGTCATGGATTATAAATTGCATGCATTGAGAATCACTAAGAAGAGACCATCATTAAGGCTTGTTCCAACCATAATGTCAATGTAAACTTGTTTGATCTAACAATTTTAGATACCTTGTACATAAACAAATACAAAACCTAAAACATTATAAAATATATATAATAAAAATTCCTTTGTGCCTATTTGGCTTGAGCATCTTTTGAGAACAATGTTGTGGAATTCCGAACCAAGGTGTTTTCATAAATATTTTTGCTCCAACCGTAATTGGTAATCACAATCGGAATTCAATAGAATTAGTGTCACGGTTTTTATAATATTTGATCCTGCTAAATAAAGAAAGTTATAACATACTGTTAATTTAAAAAATAATAATTAAATAGTGCATGAAAACCGCAAATTGGTATAGATATGTATTGTGGTGATGTGTGTTGCTTGAAGCGCACGCGAACTGTATGAATTTAAAGGATAATATAATATATACTTTTTCTTTAAATAATCTGTTCTTTCATTATGTTACTTTTTTATTGGTTATATTTAAAAAATACATTTTGATATGGTAACAAATATTAGTGTTAGCTCTATGGTTTTCATTTAATCAAACATGGTATCACAGCCATTGTGACGTCACGGTGAATAAGCTGACGACACCTTTTTATAAATCGCCACAAAATGAATTTTATAGGATTAACGTAGTTTATTACCAGTGATTTGTGTTTTAGACAGGACTAAAGACAAAATCAAACTAGTGTTTGTGTAATTTGTGCGTCAACAAGTGATGAAGACAGGCCAAAAAGCTTAGTGAAATAAAGATAATTTTTGAGGACGAGAAAATGGCGACGTTCGAGCGCATTTTGTTAACCAGAAAACATATTGTAATTGCCGAGAGGTTTAATGTAGTGCGTAAAATTGGCGGTGGGAGCTTTGGAGACATCTTCTTGGCGATATGTATTACAGATGGAGAGGTAATTACGGGACAAGTTGCAACCATTGTTAGGCCTTCGTTACGACACATCGACCAATCCTTAACATGAAAACTTTTACCTTTTGTTTGGATGAGGACAGTCTCTTTCTTTATTAATTGATCGTGTTATTTGATTACTTAAAATTTCGGAAATCAATTTATTTGTCATAGTTATGTTAGGTGTTTGGCAATGTATTTGCTGCTTTGAGTCAGGATTCGTCCTAATTTATGAACCGATTTCCCCACATGTTCGATTTATTCATATCGATAGTATATTAAATAATTTGCGACACTTATATATAAATATTATGGTTTTAAATGCTAATGGCAAGTTCTGACAACTAGTAAAACATGGCCTATTTTGAAATGTTACTGTAAATTTTTAGTCAACATAATCATGCTTCTCCTTTCTAAACATTTACATTTTTTTTTCTTTTTTGGTGAGTTTGCTATATATATATGCTGTAATAAGTAATACTAACTGCCTATTAATGAAAGATTATTTCTGAAATTTAACAAGAGAAGGCATAGATCTCCATATTATGTAGCTAAATACAGTCAAGGACTAAGTTCTTGTGCAATCAGATGAATAATATGAACAATAGAATGTTCAGTGTCAAATGAGTTGTACTACAACTAAAAATGTAACTGTGCTGTGCTGTAAATGCTAGATTTAAAGAAATATATGCTTTTTTTATGCTTGTGTAATTCTACAAGTACTTAAATAGATAACACAATAATTCCAGAGTTTAAAGAGTAATTTATTATGGTATGCGCCTTGTACTACTGAAATAACAAGCAACTTAAACTAAAGTTTTCATATTGGCAAAGGCCATTGTTTTATACAATAGTATTTTAACAATAAGAAAACTTTCTAAAACTTAGTTACTTACATCGCATTCAGTACTACTGAATATTAGAATACTCTTTGAAACAGAAATAATATTTTGAACTTCTAAAAATCTAAAATAAAAAATCTAATTAAAGTGATAAGTAATCACTTTAATTAGAATTTTTCTTAAGAAGATACTTAACTGACTTAGCAATATAAACAAAATTTCTTGTTGCAGGAGGTGGCTGTAAAAGTAGAATCCATAAAAGCGCGGCATCCCCAACTTCTCTATGAGAGCAGAGTGTATAAGATGCTCCAAGGGGGCGTAGGAATACCTCACATAAGGTACACATCCCTATACATATTATAAGAGTATATTTGCTAAACAATATTCTTCTTGCTTTAACTATGTTTGTTTAGAGGATTGAGAATATTGTGTATTCCTATTATATATATAAACAAATTCGTTTTTCTATATAATCATAGAATATGGTTTTATTTTCTTGTTATATTAAAGCAACCTGTTTATAGATGGTACGGATTTGAGCGGGACCACAACATCCTTGTGATGGACCTGCTGGGACCCTCACTTGAGGATCTCTTCAATTTCTGCTCCAGACAATTTACCATCAAGACTGTCCTTATGCTGGCAGGTAGGTGCCATTGTTTTAAATTTTAATCATTATTATCAATAGTGTGAATATTTGAAGTCAAGGCAAACAATATTATTTTGTGTCTGTGTATTGACCCCTCTTATCTCCCAAAAGTTTACTAATCAATAGATTAAGCTCAGCTTGTAAGATTAACCAACTTTGGGTTAGTTAGTCAACCGATTTGATATGTTGCTTATGTAGACTAAGCTACAATTGGACATTTGAACAGTTTTCATATACAATAAGTTAATTCAATGCTATTTTTTGTTTTTAAAATACAATGTTAAAATCTTACATGCAATACAATTAAATTGGGGGTCACAATTGGCAACAAGGCTGAGCCTAGACCTTGTAGATTTTGTGAATTGTTTTAGTGAAGGCTGAAGTACCTGGCTATAGTTGGTATTTTTGCTAAGGACTTAATTGCGCGATAGACGTCAAAGCCCTTGTTTAACATGATAGGAATATTAAACAACTACGTGACTTGGGCCACATAACCCCCACGCCATTTTACCTATATCATATTGTAGTGACGTGAGCAGAAATTAAACCTTGACCTTAATTTCTTCAGATCTATGAGGCCATCCATCAATAACATCACACAAATTTCTTTTTTGATTATGTATATGCTTATAGCTCTGACATTTCGGAGATTATGTCATACACTTCTCTAGATTGTCTTCATATATTTATAATTATTTAACCAAACCAGCAACCTTTAATTTCGTGGATTTATATTCCTTTATGCCATTAAATTTGATTAGTTAACTGCAATATCAAGATATGTGGGTAGAGTAGTTCCCACGTAAACACCTGCACAAAATGCATAGTCACCGGAAACGGGCGAGTTGAGGACACGCTAGTAGCTAACGGAATTTTTCTTCCATCGAAAATGTACGACCACACTTTCACAAATCTTATTGATTGAGAAGGGCAGTCTAAGACGGATGTTTCGTATTTATTTCGTAGGTAATATGAACTTTCAAGGACTACTTCTACAACCTTTCAATCTTTACAAGTATTGCATGGGTGTGGCAGTTAAAAATCATATTTTATTCTAAATATGTTTTGTTATCAATGCTCCGATTGGGAATCTTAAGGTAGTAAAAGTATAATAGAGCTAATCTAGTTTATCTAATCTCTAGTTTACGGAACGGTTAAATTTGTTCTTTAATACTCAAAACATGATACCAATAAAAACGTTATTTAACTACCGGTCGCTTGCGTTGTGCCCTATTATACTACTGTTACTATTACCACGGCTTTACTTATATATAAATTATCAAAAACACGCGAAAAAACAGACTTATAGACATTAACGATCCTCACAAACTTGTTTTGAATAAAATCACCCTATTTACTTTTAGTACTTGTTTTTTTTTGTGTTGGCTAACTAACTCTTCGGTTACCAGATCAAATGCTGGCTCGTGTGGAGTTCATCCACTGCAAGTGCTTCATCCACCGCGACATAAAGCCGGACAACTTCCTTATGGGCATCGGGCGACACTGCAACAAGCTCTACATGATCGACTTTGGCCTCGCCAAGAAGTACCGCGACCTGCGAACGCGCACCCACATCTCCTACCGCGAGGACAAGAATCTTACCGGTAAGACGTGAACAACTTTTGTTTATATGTTTGACTCTACGAAAGCGAATTAATAAATGAAGAATCAATAACTAAAAACCCCCAGGTTTTCATTTATTAATTCTAGTAGTAGAACAGGTGATCAGTCCATATTTGCGGATACTTCATCCATGTTTCATTAAGCGGAGGTCACTAGGTGTATCTATTATAGTACTCTGGCATCAGAATGTTGTAGTTGTAAAAAAACATACAAAATAAAATGAATGAATCACTCTGTGACTCACGCTACGAACAAGATACAGGTATGTTATGTAAGATGCAATTTAGAAATCTCTGTATTCTTGTTGCTTCACATGAAAGTTTGGAATGAAAACTTGAAACGTAAGACTCGCAGCGACTGATGTGTGTATGTATGATTGCAGGCACTGCCCGGTACGCCTCCATCAACGCTCATCTCGGGATCGAGCAGTCGCGTAGAGACGACATGGAGTCGTTAGGATATGTACTTATGTACTTCAATAGGTAATTTATAGACTTGTCTGTGTAGTCTGGTGTATGGTTTTATTTTTGGCAACATATTTTCTTTTGAAAACCTTAATATTTTTTACATGTTATTGCACATGAAAAAAATATTACGTTCAAGTCCGGCCCGAGTCGAAAAAAAATTTCAATTTATCTTCGATTTTTAAAACATATTTTCTTCTTAATTTTGCAATAATCTTTAAGAGTCTCCTCCTACTCACTTGTTAAACCTTCTTGTTTTATACATCTGGAAAATTCAAAACAGTTAAGCACACTTTAGAAAGCCGATCGTGCTTATAAAAAAAATATATCACCAATACTGGAACACATAGTAAAAGTATGAATTTAACGAGAAAAACGAAAGCAACAAACTTTTCACTTGGGAGTTTTAGAGACAGGTCCTCTAATAATTAAACAATGTCTTACGAGCACCTTTTATTTTAGTTGTTGCGTAGATTCGTTTATACAAAAGTTTCACTTCAATAACATGATCCGTATCCACAGAGGTTCACTCCCATGGCAAGGCTTAAAAGCGATTACGAAGAAACAAAAGTATGAACGCATCAGCGAGAAGAAAATGTCTACGCCTGTCGAGGTCCTCTGCAAGGTAAGTATCGTATCCTGAAGGAGTAGGATGGAAAAATTATATTGTTTGGTAATATGAATATTGAATACAAAACAATTCATCTATGTATTTGTATATGTTAAGGGCTTCCCGGCGGAGTTTGCGATGTATCTGAACTATTGCCGCGGCCTCACGTTCGACGAGTCGCCAGACTATATGTATCTCAGACAGGTTAGTATACTAGTTGTGTATAATCTATACTAATATATAGGGCTGAAGAGTGTGTTTGTTTTTGGGACGCGCTAGTCTCAGGAACTACTGGCTCAAAATGAAAAAAAATTATTGTTGGGTAGAACATTTATCGAGGAAGGCGAGGAATATATTGTCCTTATAACATCGAGCGGTGACTAATAGGAGCGAAGACAAAACGGGAAAAATTCTTTAACTTTTTGGGTATCCGCCGCGTTCGCGTTTCAAGATACCCAAAAAATATTTATGAAAACATGATGCCTCTTTCAATGACCTTAACGACATCATGTCTATCGTTTAATATTATCTTATGGCGGCTCTACACGTTAGCCAACATTTTGGCGAATGTATTATGGCGGCCCTACACGATGGCAATTGTGATGGCGTCCAAACGTAGGACTGTAAATCAGTTTCTTTCGGTTCGGGCCAAAGTGCGGACGAAAAAACGGATATTGAGGTTTTGACGGCTGCTGCGATTTATTTATTGTCTGCATACCGCTCCTACGCAAGTGTGTATAAGAGAAGAGTCCAATACCTACCAAATAGATCACCAAACCCCGTTCTACACAATTGCCAACACTTATTGGCTAATACATTCGCCAAAGTGTTGGCTAACGTGTAGAGCCGCCATTAGCCAATACGTTTTTGCAGTTTGCAGCGAGCGCCCAACAATAAACAAAGATAATTTATATTTGTTTATTGTTTTTTCTTTGTTCTTTGCTTGCTTCTTATTGATAAATGTATTTTGATCATGTCCGTGTAATGGAAGAATTTGTCATCGACACGCTATGGATTGATATTTACGATCACTGACATGACTAACAGTTGTTTTTGGTTTTGTTTACATAGGTACTGTGTTCAGACTTGTTGAAATTATCCTCCTTTAAACTCCTGCTTTTTGTACAACTCTTTATATACTTAATAATTTGAAATTGTAAGATTGTATTTTTAAACTTATTTATTGATTCTAACCTCAATCGTAATTTTGAAGATATTAAAAAACACTAAAGTAAATCAAACCCTTTATGATTTGTGGTCTACTGGTCGCGAAACATTTCCGTCAGATACAGTACCTATGCAAATTTGACCATTGTTCCTTACACAGATTTGTGTGGTCTTTGCTCTCTGCAGTACACAGAGGGGGCTGATACATCTGTACTGTTTAACATGACTTCAACACCAATATGTAGAAATTAACGACGTCTCTTGCTTGCAGTTATTCCGTATCTTATTCCGCACGATGAACTACCAGTACGACTACACCTTTGACTGGACGATACTGCGGCAACGCAAGCACCAGACAATGGAGGCCGGAGGAGCTGCTGCGGCGGTCCCGGACCGTCGCTCGCCCTCCGTCCAGCGCCGCGCCTCGAACCAGCCGCCGCAGCCACCTCCGAATAATGAGGTATAAATATATACAATTCACACTATTAAGAACCGGCACCCTTTGACGGTAGGCCTTACCAAGACCAAACATGATCTGGAAAATCGATGTCGTCGATTGTTGTTTTGCTCTAAGATGCCAGGCCAGCCTCAGAATTTATATTTAAATAAATTGGTGCACAACTGCCAATAGTGAAACGCTACTAGACCAACACTAAGCTTAAGACAAAATATTTTCCAGATTCATCACTGAATGTTATATATAGATAATATTGTTTCATCATTAATCCTCAATCCTCTAACCCGCCTTTTATCTAACATCTTGACATCCAACTATCCAGATCCTATCTTTTCTAGGCAAAGTCAGTGCAAGACACTCAAGCCATGAAACAAGTGAAAGGCCACCAGTCCGTCAGCCAATTGAAGAAAAAACTGACCGCCATTTCCTAATCCCCGTTTTTCTACACATTCATTTTGCCACTCACTAGAAAACTAATGGACACTAACGTTTTTCCAAATTTCTACCTTTACTTTTTACGTTTTTTTTTTCAAATTGTGGCCATCTATATTTTGACCGTGGCATAAGTCACAACAAACAAAGAATTATTGCTTCTGTGAAAGTTATTTATTTTGTATGATTTTGATTGAAATAACATTTATTTAAATGTTGCTAGATAGAATGTGTTCGTTGTTGTGGTTGTGTGTAGCTTTTGTAAATTTTTCACTTTAACACTTTGTCTTAGTAGCCTTAAAAACTATAGATTTAAATTATTAAGTATACATTGAATAGGTTGTGTTTTTAAATTTATATAAATGATTTCAACTCTTTTACATTCTTCTACTTTATCATATTTTCTGACCTTTTCATTGAACAAAATTACCTTGGTCACAAGCATCGTAACATTGTTACTTGCTATCTATATATTAAAACAAATCAAATTTATATACAGTTTTATTCTCACACTGTCTGTGTTCAGAAAATGCGTGGAAGTAAACTGTTTGTACTGAAAAACATATTCGCATATGTATAATTTTTCAATTTTAAAATTGTATTTATTATTTTTATGTACTTTACAAAAATGAATAAATGATAATAGAGTAAACATACTATTAGAAAAAAGGCTGTGCAAAAACAGTAATGTGTCAAGAATATAGAATATTAAAACGTGAATTTTGTATAAATGAATGAAACTCTAACCAGAAATTTAATTTTTATTGCTCTATATTTTCCTTAACACCCAAGATATGAAGAGTAAAACCTCGTAATGGCGAAATGGTAATTTTCAAGAATATTTTTAATTAATCGCTTTTTTATCGTATTTAATCGCAAAATAATTTGCATTCCATCTATTCACCCATCTAGCCTATCGTAAAAGACATGTACCTCCCAATGTTCACACATTTTGAGATCTATGTTTCTGATTTCCAGTGAAAGAGATTACAACGTTCGGCAGCCACGGGCGCACCGGCGAGGAAGCGAGCCCGATAGCATTGTGTTCCGCAGTCGTTACTACTTTGGACGAGCGTTTGTTTGTCTGTATCGAGAGCCCTCGCGACGCTGCTACGCCTATGTCCCCGCGAAGCCCGTGCTGCCGGCGTTCAGTATCGCAGCGATAAAAACTATAGTGTTACAATGGTAATGTGTCGAAGCGTAACTATCGCGAATTCCTTGTCCACTCTCACCCGCCGTGACCACTTTAGTGTACTTCACACTGAGCGTTGACTTCCGAGTGAGTGACGCCCACTCGTATGCGACAAGATGTGACCTTAGTGAATCCGAGCGTAGTTTCGTCGACGAACACTTGTTTTATATTGAGGCCTTTTAATTTAAACGTCAGTGTAGTGATGACGGGCCCCAGGCCGGATCTAAAATATGTTTCGGTGACTACTCATCTGTGTAAATGTGAAATATTAAGTCTTCTGTTTTACATTATTTTTAATAACAGTTATTTTTTAATTATTTCTTTCTACATGAAAAAAGTTAACAGTTTAAACAAAACTTAATTTTTTATCTGGGACTCTAGTTTTTGTTAACGTAATTTGATTAAAGTGACTTCATAATTTGCTTGTAAAGCCCAACCCGAGTGCACATTGCGATTCTTATAATTAGAGTCCCTTTTATTCAACAAATTGTTGTTGAACATTTGCTTAGTTCTTGGATGTTAGTTCATATTCTCATTAGCTAGTGTTTAATAAATTTTCATTAGTGATCGGGATGTCGGCCGTGAAGCACGTGCAGTTCACGCAAACTTGTCAATAGTAACTTATGGCTTACAAAGCTTGACAATTGTTTTTTTTATAAAGTTGAAATGAATCAGTTGCTCACCGTCGACATGCCTTTAGGACTGTTTCTGGCAATTTTAAATTAACCATCATGTTTTCAATCTCAATTCCTCGTGTCTCGACTTAGCTTCAATCTTGTACCCCTCTCCCTTTCAAAAATCTGTTAGTATTTTATTTTAATTCAATTTAAAAATCGGGTATGTATTTATTTAAAATGGTTTGAGATTGAAAATGATTCATGTGTTTGTTGCCGAGTGTCTGACATTAACTAGAAGTGGATATCGGAAGTTTATTAATTATTAACTGATTAATGATTTAAAAGATTTCTTGTATTAAAATGAGAAAAAATTAAAAAAAATATCAAAAAAAATCTGTCATAGAACTTAAGAAATTCTAATAGATCACTTAGTTTGTCTCGCGTCTACGCGACAATAGATGTAGGCTCATTATTTTTACACTGTATTCTGGTTTATGAAATTGTAAATACATAATTAATTGCATAGGACGCGAGCAGAGTCTGATACAAAATCTGTATCGTATATTTTATCTCCAGGAATTTTGTAAATATATAAGTGTTCATTTAAACTATTACTTTAAGAGAAGGTCATTCGATCGTTAGATGTTTTAAACTAAGTGATATGTAACGATTGAAGGAGCCTGGCTTCACGGTGTGTTTGAGCTGCGTCAGTGTATAACAATGGTTCGGGCCGCCATAGTCTTCGGGGGATATTTTTGTAAGAGATAACAGTCACTAAAGTAAATAAGGCACCAGTGTTATTATATTGACGCAAAGCCCGGCACGTACAACTGTTTGAGGAAATTCTTATTTCGGCAGTCGGCATTATACACTTTGGAGTACAGCGCAGCGTTTTCAAACATTGAAGGTTCTGTCCGAGTACCTTATTGTCTCATAAAACGGGCCTAAACTTTTCATACTGCCACTTTAATTGCAAAAAATAACTATTCACTTTTATTTGGCGTCCATATGTTGTAAGCTAGTGATATATATCCTACTTTTGTTTTATATTAAAATAAAAGGACTTGCACAGATAGAGGAATGTCTCTGCAGTTGTATGTGCGAGGCATCGGGGTGCAGTTACAACTTGAATTAGTAATGCCACTTAATACGCTGTTTCGAATGACAGTGAACTGAAGTGGCTGTATTTAATGTGAGTTTTAATTTCACCTTGTACCTAATAGAGAATATAGTATTATGTGAGTGGTTGAAACGGAGACAAAGACGCCCATAATTTGACTGGAATCTGTGACCAAATTTTCATTTCATCTCGTGATAATATGGATCTCACTTTTCCTGTTAATATTGAAAATAAGTTTTTTACTTCATGCTGAATTTGAAAACAAATGCTTTTTGTCTCCATTCATGTTCATTGTACTGCACTTAATAAAATAATTTTAAACAGCTCGGTGTTTTTTTTTAACTCGAAAAAATACCTTTGCTTTATATAAATACATTATCTTTATCAACATGGCTGCTATTGGCCAAGAATTAAGTTCTTATTGAACCCATGAGGATCTGTGGCTTGTTTCTTAATTGATTAATCCTAATGCTTTCTTTTTATCGAGTCTTTGTTTATCAATAGTGTCAATTTATTTACTTAACGAAGTGAATAACTGAATTCTTCGTCCTTTATCTTTAATGCTCCTTTCTCATATATTGATCAGCGGTCGTGGTCTTTTTCACAACTCGTTTACGTCAACATGGTATCCTTAAAGAATCTTAACCAATAATTAAGATAATCAGCATAATGTATATGTAAGTAAATAAAAATGGACGTTTTTCATATTGTTTATTCAACATCATAATAATTACAGTAATTAACAATAATCATTTCAAACAGGGCTGAGGAGCTAAAACAAATGATAGTATAAACACTAATGAGTCTAACACTAACCACATACGCTTAATATACAATGATAAAGATGCATACTATAAGTTCTCTGTATTTCAAATAACCTTCGTAAAAATGCAATTATTCACTGGAGTTCAAACTGTGGGCGAAATGATTTCTCTCATCGTTAGAAAGTCACACATCGCGAAGAAATAATAATAATTTGTGTTGCGCTAAATATTGTATTTTTAATTATGTTTATAGAAATTTATAGCAAAGTTCTGAAAACCTATCAAGAATTAACAGGGAATTGTTTGCATAATGGTTACGAATTATCATGAAATTTACAAGTACATGACAAATTAATAAAAAAATGCATATTTAAAAATTCCAATTTTAATAGCACGATGCTACTAGTTTTCTATTATTTAATATGTTACATAAGAAAGTAGACTACGAAACTGAAAACAGGTCCTACGACATATAAACTTTAGAAATATTAACACAAACAGGTAGACCCACAACAGAAATAGATGCCTAGACGACACAGATAGATCTTATTTTTCTGAATGACTAGCTTCTTTTAAGTTACTACTAATGAATTAAGTAAATTAAATCTTAATACATACAAACTTAACACATTCAACATTTAAGTAAGTAATAGCGCACTTAAATGGGAATAACATTTTTTAAATAACAAAAAAAAGCTTATTTCTCACTCTGTATAACTTTTAAATTGAAAAATATGAAACATCGTACCATTAAACAAAAAACCTTTCAAAGATAATGTCAAAACAATATTAAATGAAGTATTAAGCCTGTAGTTGCAAACTATAATGTAAGTATACCACAATGACGTTGATCACAGGATTGGACATATATTGTAATCAAAAACTTAATTTTAGTTCTCGAGATCCACTGAATCTTCATAAGGACCCCATGAACATATGTTACAAGATAAAGCGAATAGATCAATTTTCTTTCCTAGCATTTTCTACGACACCTAGGCAGTGTGGTTGCATTTCTAGACTCATTCTAACATCTACAGTTACTGTGTAGTTGTAGAAATCGGATATAAGTCATAAAATACTTAGTAAGGCTACATTAATACAGATAATGGAATATAAATATAGTGTCTTCGGGCAATCATACATACATCAGAAACCGACATCAACAAGATATTATCACAATTAATTCAAATTTTCAAACTTAATACTCATAATTGACGAATTATTTATTACAAACGTAAATAACATCGCGTTCGCGAGCTCTGAAACTCCTAGAAATGGCGCAAAGCATAAATCTACACGATTTTTACATAACTGCAGAAAATGCTTAGATTAACGTTTCGCATTTAGAACTACCACTACGATTATATTAATTGACTTTTTAATGACTTTGGGTGGGTAAGGAACTCTCTAGTTTCTACTTTTTAATTATATGTAAAGTGATTTACATGAATTTTATTAATTTTAAGTTATAAAAAGGATTATAACTAAAAACTAAAATTGGACTATAGTTCACGTATAATAAAACGGAAAATTTATGTACAAGTCTAAATTCACCTATAAGGGGAAAATATATATTTGTATATTTAACGGTCAAAGAATAAAACCATTAAATTGTATTTATTTAGTCTCAAGGGTTTTTGCAACATTTCTTAACTAAAACTAGAAGATTTTAAATCTAATTTTAATGCCCATTCTATGTAGACTATCGTTGGTAATTAATAATAACGATACATGAATACGCAATTATACATTTAACACAACTTACAACATCCATAATACTTAATATCATTTAACACGCGTATATTTTTTGGCCGTTTTAAAATAAAAAGCAACAATTTTAAGCACAGATTATAGTAGAAATATACCTTATACTTTGGATATAGATATAAATTAAATTTATATCGCTGTGATGATATTGATCTATCTAGCATCGCCTATTTATTCAAGAACACACTTTCTCAGATATTTATTCTAATAATGTACCTAGGAATTCGCGTACCTATTCGGAGCGTAAATGAGAGAGGTCACTCATAAAAAAGATGTCACAGGTTACTACAAATATTATTATTTCATAAATTAAGTGTTGTTCTTATCGAAAGAAGATGCAAAATATAATGTGTTACTATATATGGGAAGAAATTATCTGAGGTAGAATCTAGAATATTCAAAACGCAGGGAAGAAACGTTACACCTTAAAACATGCCAGCACATGCTTATGGCGATTGAGATATATTATTATATTGGAATGTGTATTATATGAGTCCGTCGCAGACTTACTATTTGAACTGAAATCCTACCAAAATATGATCCCAATAATAAAACTATGAGTTAGTGATAAACGAAAACGTTCGTAGACTTTTTTCCGTATCGTTATAAATTTCAATTATTATCTTTTATATATATCTTTACAATTTCGTTTGTAATGCGATTGCGTATATTATTAAACTCATACTAGACACAGGAAACCGACTAAAACATTCGACGAGAACAATAATTATCATAAATTATATAAGGCTTTCACAGTTTTCGAGCTGTTTATCCACTGTGATTGTGAAGAGCCGAATGCCGTAAAGCTCGAAAAATACAATAACACTGCCAGCTTTTAACTCTACTTATATAAATAAATTGATTCAAAATAATTTCTGATCTTATACCGTTTATAAATTTTTTGTATGCTTTAAGAAATGTCTACAATATAACAAATAAATTATTATATATATCAGCTAATAAGTACCTACTAGATTAATTCGTCTTTTGTCGATGTCTTATTTGGTTTGAAATTGCTCTTCATTAAGATATCCTTGGTATCTTGTAAAAAATACTACCAGTTAATTTTATTTCATTAAATCGTTCACGACTGTGTGTATAAAAGTATAGTATCACTTTTAGTGAAAAACTTTACCCAAAATAAATTAATTTACTTACTAACTCAATTTGTGCGAACATAAAATATTTAGGGACAAGATCATAAGAAGTGTCGTTGGTGCTGTGAAACGTCAAATTATTGCCATTTTTTTTCGTTCCTTAAATAAGGATAATCCAATTAACTATTAGTTAATTATTATTGTCCATAAAATATTAATATAGACCTCATACATTTTAGTACCTATTTATCTTTATAATCTGATTTATTTGATGCAAGGAAACGAAATTTCTTGCACTTAACTCGTTCACTACAAGGTAAACACGCGGTAATACATTTTCAAGCATGATAAGCATATTTTTTATTTTTATTTTTTAAGTCTATTAATATAAAAAATCTTAATAGGAAAGTGAAGATTTAACAAAGGCGTAAACATCTATAGGTACTAATGTGCCTATCTATAAAACGTAGACATAGAAACAACAGGGCTAGAAGAAATTTCATTTATTTTTCTTTTCCGGCGAGGCCTCGAAGAGAACAGCCCGCTCTCCATACTGACGTTGGCCAAAAACGAACGTAGTAATGTTTTTGTTAATTACCAATAATATCGTGAGAAAAAATAAATAAAATTGCTTTTAATTAGTAAAATCTATTAAAATTGTATCTAATACGTAGACAGGCAGTCAGGTGGGTGGTAATCTCCGAACACATTCAGCTCATAGAGGCTAGCGAGGGTGATGAAGAGAAGATACCAAACCATCAGCACAGCTCCGAACTTTCGGTCCAGTTTCCAGCCGTTCGCGTGTGTTGCCAGCACTAAGAATATGACCGTCGAGAACAGGGACAGTGTGGAGTAGATTAGACCTATAACAAGTTAATGTTTCCTTAGAAGTTATCTATATTCCTCGTTATTTCATGTTTATAAAAATAAAGCATGTGTAACAAAAAAAAATAAAAAAATCATGTTATCTTGTTAAGTTTTTTATAAATAACATGTTTTTTAATTACTTTTTTAAGTTGACAATGCAATAAAAATAAACTAGTTTGAATCGTTTATAAATTTAGAAAATTTACGACACGGGTAGGACTTGGAACCGGCATCTCCAGCGTTTCGTCCTGTTGCTCTAATTCGACAAGTTTGAATCGGTTAAAACGCGATTTATAATAAAATATATAACAAAATATCGATCCACCTTGAGCTTTTACAGTCTTTTTTAAGGTAATCTCTGATTAATATACCAATATAAGTGTGACCCACCTTTACTGATAACATTGACATGGCTGCCAGGATGGATAATGGCGGTCTGAATGAACCAGGGTAGCCCAAGGCAGACGAGAATGTCAAAAACGTTGGACCCGACCGCATTTGAAACTGCCATATCTCCGTATCTATAAACAATGTATTTTTTTATTGTAATTATCACAATTGCATAACTAAGTGTTTCACATCTAAATAAAACTTGTTTAACGGTTTAAAACGCAATATACCAGTTAAACTTATTTGAAAATTATTTTTAACTTCGGCCCGACGTTTCGGATGCTTTGCAGCAGTGGTCACGGGGACACGAGGAAAAAGTGTTGTATTTAAACTTACACTTATTTTACTTGCGACTTTATTAAATATTTGTCGTACATTCTCGTTTTTTTTATAACAAAGGACATTAGAATTTACAAACTGAAATATAAATGCGACTAAAATTCATAACTTATTAATCTGTGGCCGGTGGTTCCTGTGACTCGGACGGAATTTCAATAATCCTACCATCCATTTAATATCCAAATTTTGAGGCGAAGACAAACATGTTCCAGAAAAATTATAAATTGGTTTGATAAATGTTGGACCCGGTTGGCTCGAACCCACGACCTGATCATTAGCCGTAGGTTTTACTACCATTTACCAACAAGCACGTGGAAATTGATACAATTAAAATCTATACCCTTCCTTGATGACAGCGAGGGACGAGAGCGCATCAGGGACGGACACACCAGCTGCCACGAACGTGAGACCCATCACTGTATCGGGTATTCCCAGTGTGTAGCCTATAGAACGTGATTTTCGAATAGAATAAAAATACCTTTAATCAGAAACATAATATAAGAATATATTAAACTGTAGAGTTTGTTTGTTTGTTTGAACACGCACAAGAACTACGAATTCGAATGGTTAGAGCACTTATCGAGGAAGGCTATATGCTATAAAACTTTGCCCTATGACTAATACAAGCTAAGACACGTAGAGAAATTAAAAAAAAAATGAAAAATTATTCATAATTATGGGTTACCGAGGGGTACGATGCATTAACGATCCAAGATACCCAAAAATATGTATCAAAGAATGATTCCTGTTTAAATGATGTAAAAAAAAGTCCGCGACATATCTATATTTTAAGATTAACTTGCAAGAACGACGGGAAAGGACGTGACCGACGTCGTGGGTAACAGCTTAAGTTTATAAAGATGTTTGCAAAAACGAAATTGGATGCCCAAAATAACGATTCACGCGGACGAAGTCGCTGACATAGCTTGTAACAAATATAAACGTATATTATTAAATAGAGATAGAGTAGAGTACTACAGTTGCCCCTGAAAAGGAGTCCACTCAGCTACGTTGGGACTACTGTCCCAACACTGATATTCTATGGCCTCATCAGAGGTCGAACTAACGCAGGCTCTGTGTCTATTCATTATGTTTATATACAAAAGCTTCACACAATTACATTTATTAATTAGAGATATATAAACAGTAGTTTAACAGAATAGTTCAAACTACTTCGCTTCTCTATACTAGTTTTAATGCTAGCTAAAATTCTTACGTCCGTCAGAGCGTAATTACGTAAAGGGCTTTTTATTTTTTCATATAATGTTATATACATACAGGCTTATTCCATTTTCCTTTCTTACTTATATAACTTCCTGCTCAAATTACTTAAAACTTAAAAAAAGTTATAAAGATACTTAGTATTTGTTTCTACTAACTCAAACATCTTCGTTCTCAGTTTTCAACGACTTAAAGAAAATGCAGAAAGCCAACGACTTAAGTGTGGTGTGCTTATGATAAAGAAACACTCACCGATAACAGTGATCATCCAGACCATGAAGTAGGAGTAAAAAGAGATCCACAGCATGGATATGATGAAGGTGATGGGGTACCAGCGGCCTCGGAAGTCGGGCATGGTGCGTCGGCAAGTCCAGTGAATGGGGTACGCAACGTACCAGCAGGCTAGTTGCACTTGGTCTGTATAAGACAATTGCAGAGTTTAGTATAACAAAACGGCAGAGCTCGTAATCACACGTTAGAACAAGTAGGTATTATGTTCAATAACCGAGTTTACGCGAGTAGTACACATTTAAATAAAACAGTTTAAAACGCGATAAATATTAGTTAAATTGTTTGAAAATGAAATTGCAGCAGTCGAAACGTCGAGCCGTAGTTAATAAATTCAAATAAGTACCATTAAAGTGTATTATTTAAAAGTATAATATTTTCTAAATACAATATTAATCTGCTCCCTCGTGGGAAAATTAACTCAATAGGAAAAAAGGAAAATTAATTACCCGGCATTATACAAAAAATATACTACACTAATATTAAAAAGTTGAACAGTTTGTTTGTTTGAAAAAATATTTTTGTGTTGGCTGGATCATATATCGAGGAAGGCTTTAAGGCTCTAAAACATCACGATGCGACGCATAGGAGCTAGGAAACATAGGGAAATATGAAAAAACGGGGAATATTTATCATCTTTGACGAATTCCGGCGCGTACGCTGCGAAACGATACACAAAAACATGTATGTAATTCTTTTTTTTTATTTATTTATTTAAACTTACAATCAAACGGCCTTACATAGCGCTTAATTAACAATAAAACTTAAAGAATAAACGAGGCTAGGCCTTACAGATTGCTTACATCGCTATAACGGGTTAAATTACAGAAATGAGAAGGAAAAAAAAGTAACTTAAGATAAGATTTTTTTTTTTTTTTTTACTTACAATTTGCTTAATACTGCTTTTTTGAAAATGTTTAATCTATTCCAACAAATATCAACGTCACAAAATTTGTTGTTAAAAAGTTCGCAGGACCGCGAAAAAAACCTATGTTTGGCATAATTAGTATGACTGGTGTTAGTGGAAAAAACTAGTTTTTTGCGTGAGGAGATTCGTGGTGTGTGGAAATTAATTTTACTAAGTAATAAGATTGAGTCAATTTTGTTGTGTATAATTTTATAGAGAAAAAGTAGATCGAGGTATGCACGTCTATTTATTAAAGATAGTAAGTGATGTTTGTAAGCGCTAGTTTCATAGTCGTTAAAATAGTTACCCGTAAAGTAATCCAAAGCCTTTAGGAACTTATGCTGAATTTTTTCTATTTTATCTATATGTACAGCATACAATGGATTCCAAACAACACTTCCAAACTCTAAAATATTACGAACGTGAGAATTGTATAATATCTTTAGGGTATCAGCATTTTTGAATGGCTTAGAGTAGCGAATAATCATTCCCAACCTTTTGAATGCTTTAGTAGTTATGTTGTCAATATGTATATTGAAGTGCATTTTGGAGTCCAGTGTCACTCCCAGGTCCCTGATATTTGTAACGCGTTCTATGGCCCTTCCGCTAAGCATATACGTATGGTCTATAGCGTTAACCTTGCGTGTAAAGGTAATTATACGAGTTTTGTCGTGGTTTAGAAAAGGTTTAGAAAAGGTTTAGGTTTTCTTTAAACAATCTACAAAAATGTGCATGGCCGTTCCTGTTTATCTTTTAAAATTAACTCGGAAGAATCACGGGACGACGTCGACCTATAATTTATAAAGCTAAAGAGGCGGTTGTTTGCTAAAATAATTATAAAATGCCCAAAAGAACAAGAGAATTTACGCGGACGTTATATAAACGATAATGTAAGAAAAGAAAATTTCAAACACTTACTCGCTCCTTCTGGTTTAACTAGGGGATTCACAGCCGTTTCTGGGTTGTAATCTCTCGCTTTGTAGTACGCTGGACCAGGTGGCTAAAATAAAATAAAAAGATACGTAGAAAGATACATCTACGGCATAGACAAAGAAATAGTTTCTTTTTTTTAATATAAACACTTATTTCATAGATTAAAATAAAATTACGACACGGGCAGATATTAAACCGGCGTCCACATCGTTCCATGCTCAGCAACAGGTTCAAGTCTTGCCCGTGTGGTAATTTTTTTAATCTAAAATCTATTTTTAATTTATATAGTGCCATCATGTTCATACATGTGGAAAATATAAAGATTTTAAAACTTAATTATCTCTTGTGTGAAAAACTATTAACTGTTTTCGTTGTTAACTTGTTAGCTTTTTGTGTTATATTATTTTGTTCAACTGACCTGCTGCGGCTGTTGTTGTTGTTGTTGCTCAACCTGCCCAGGTGTTGATGGTGTCTGTGCATTTTGTTGCTGTTGCTGTTGTTGTGAAGCACCGCCGCCCCAGCCTTGGTTAGCGGGCTGTTGCTGCTATAAAGAATTAGTATTAAGCTATAGACCTAGGATTCTACGATGAACGTTGGTCCAGTAGCAATGTATGGCTCATTATCAACTGGTTTTCGGTTTAATTCCCACCAACTCCAACATCAATGTGTAATTTTTTAAAACATGTAAGACTTCATCATTCTCAAAAAGTAAATCCGCGCTCACAATGGTAAAACCGTAAAGTGTATTCGTGTTTGGGTTACAATCTATCTTCATCTTGTTTAGATTAAATATAGCTCCAGTATTATCAAGCCCATGCCTATCTGTGCTCTTCTGTCATAAAAACGTCATATATCAAAGAATCATGGGAATACCGAACATTGGGTACATCTGTAAGCTCATGCAATTACATATGAGTTCATAAAAAAAAAGGGATATTTACTAATGTCGTCTCTTGTTCCCAGGCGTTATTAGCATCCCAGGTGGAGTTTGGATCCCAAACAGGAGCGGGGTCTGCGTTGTAGGCCGCGTTTTCGTAAGCACCACTCGGGTTGTACGCTAAATTATAAATGTTATTATTAATATCACAATAGTAATTTCATTATACAATTGTATATGGTTAAACGTGTTGCCTAGCATTGTGTTAAGCGCAAGAGTTCCTGGGTTCGAATCCCGAGAAAGTAAATTATAACGGCCAGACAGGGCACAGAAGTCTGATCAACTACTTGCCCATAAATAAAACCGATCAGTGAAACAGACACAGAAATGTGTTCGCCCTATACCCCACGAGGGGAAACGTGATTTCACTTTTTAACCTGGAAGAGATTAGTCACCACGACACAGACTTGCCCTAGTGTGGGGACTGGGGCTATATGTGAACCATGTATGCGGAAACATAATAAATAATTTTTGATTTAAAAAAGAATCAATTAAATAAACAACATCATTTCTATTATTATACTGAATAAAAAATAGTCAATTTCCTGTAAATGATAATAATCAATCATATGTTATATTTACAGTTGTTATTTACAGGAAAAGTCCTCTAAGTTTGTCAGTACTTCAGCCTTGGTAAGAGCTTAGCCGGATTTTGAACATAACTGTGAATTTGACTTACGAGCTGGTTCTGAAGGCGATTCCTTCTGCTCCCCCTCAACATTACCATAAGGTGACGTTGCGCCCTGAGCTGGTGCGGGCGTGCCGCTTCTGAATAGTTAAAGTGAAAAAATCACACACACCGGTTAATTAAATACTGTCTGTAGTTTACGAGAGTAGTACACATTAAAAAAAACACTTGACAACAACATTAACAAAAACGGTTGAATCGCGATAAATATTAATGAAACTTAATTGGAAATAATTTTAACTACGGCCCGACGGTTCATATGCTTTGCAGTAACCGTGGTTATAGGCAGCCCCGTATCGCGTTTTAAAACGTAAGAGTGTTTTATTTAAATCACACACATTTTACAGTATTAAATAAAATAACTTAAATACTGTCTATAGTAAACTATAACGCGAGTAGTACACATTTAAATAAAACACTTTAACGGTTTAAAACGCGATATATTAGTTAAACGTCTCCCCGTGACCACGGCTGCTGCAAAGCATCCGAAACGTCGGGCCGAAGTTAAAAATCATTTTCAAATAAGTTTAACTAATATATCGCGTTTTAAACCGTTAAAGTGTTTTATTTAAATAATATAACTTACTTTCGTTCTATTTAAAAATATTATATATTTTTAAATAAAACACTCTTAGCGCAAAATGTGTTATGTAAACTTATTTACAAATTATTGTAACTGCGGAGACGTTTCGCGTTTAGATTCATTAAGAGTGTTTCATTTAACGTACTTATTGTATATATATTTTTTTAAATTTGCACATGAATCATCATGGTGCAAATTAAAAAAAAAATGTTGAATTTATTCGTCTTTGAGGCTTTTCGTTGCGTTCCATGCAAACACAGCTCAGGATACCCAAAAAATATGTATGAAAGAATTAATCTTAAAATAATAAAAAAAAACCCCGAAGATGATATATCTATCGTTTAAGACTTTTGAAGAGCAGTTTTTATGGTAATATATTTTTTATGGCAAAATAACGATTGCCAGGTCAGCAAGTCATGATATGTATATAAAAAAACTTAGATGTAATAAATAAGTAATGTAAAACTTACTTATAAGTCACTAACGCAGCCTGCTCTTCTCGGGTCGGTAGTTTAAAAGGCAGAGGCCAAGTGAGGACCCAGGCCTCAAGGGCGTTATTGAAGCGCAACGCTACGCAATATACCCCGTACATTATTAACATGAACAGGGCTTCGGGCCTGTGAAAGGAATAAGTCAATTACGAGTATAATATTTGATAAATACCAGTATTGTACAGCTGAAAAGTTCTTTTGTATAAACGCGCTAATCTCGGGAACTATTTATTCGAATTGTTATATATATTAATATATAGTTATTTATCTTAAGCCTACCGTTGCGTGTGCTGCGAAAACAGTTCAGGAAACTAATAAATATATATTGACCAATAATACCAATAAATGCTTCATTTTTAAATACTATTAAAAAAACTACAATAGTAGAATCCAATTTAGTCGATTTTTTTTCTAGATTATTAGCAAATATTTGTTAGAGTTGTAAAAACACAATAATGTTTTTCTTGAAAACAGGAGCTAAAATACATTTTCAATGAATATAATGACGATGAGGATATATATATTATATTAAATAATGTGTAACTTAAGACACAGTTGAGAATCCGTTTTGGGTTCGATTCACTTGCGGGTCTTGAATATCTAAAGCTAGTTGCAGCTACTAGTATGCCTGAAGTGCCGGTATCTTAGTGCAGTTAGCAAGCTGGGTCATTTCAGCCCATATGACTTACCATGACACGTAATTGTTGGCGATAGTACAGAGCATGACGAGAATTGAAATGGCGTAGAAGAAGCAGTCGCGGCAGAGTGGCCACCAATTGAGGTGAGACACAGTGCCGGCACAAAGGGCACACACCGATATCACGAACATTATATTGAAAACTGCTGAGCCGATCACGCCAGATACACCTGCGAGATACACACATATAAAAAGATATTCCCGAGTTCACTGCTTTGGACAAACTATGACTATTCAATTCATGCTTGTGTGAAATGCCGTTTCCCCCTCGTGGGGCGTTGGGCGAACACATTTCTGTGTCCGTTTGACTGATCCGTTCTTTTGAGCAGGCAAGTAGTTGATCAGACTTCTGTGCCCTAATCTTTTTTTTTTGTTCTCCTGGGATTCGAACCCAGAACCTCTCGCGCATAACGCAATGCTAAGCAATACTTTTGACCATTTGGCTACAGAGGCGATCAATTCATGCTCTTTTTTAGTACCTTACTTACTATTATATATATCTTTACTTTCAAAAACATACTCACCTATAAGTAACTTTCATTATATATCGAATTAAACATACTAATTATACTGCACGCAATAGAACAACTTAATCAATTTTATCAGTAATTAAGCACCGATGCAATATGTAGGATACATTTTCAATTTCTGATAACATATATAAGTGTTTATCTTTTAATGTGAACAATAGTAATTACCGATATCGTCTTGCGCGCAAAACACTCCGATAACCACTGTGGCCAGTTCAGGTGCAGAACTTCCAGCTGCCATGAAAGTAGCCCCAGCCACGTCAGGGGTTAACTTCAACTCTACAAATACATAAAGATACAAAAAAGTATAATGATAACATATAAACAATATCATGTTAGTGGTGTCAAACTAGTATGTCTGTTTATATAGATTTATACTTTGTCTTTGGACAAAATGCGAGGTTACCTTCACAGATCCTGTCAAGACTGCACACGAAGTACTCATCACAAACGATAGCCAGGCCAATGAAGGTGAACACAGCCACTAAAATGTGGATGATAAGTCCGCCGTGCTTACGAGCCGTTTGACTCATCAAGGGGTGAGGAAACTAGTAGGAAAAACAAATAGAAAAATAGATGGTTTATTATTGGAAGCTTGTTTTATATACTATTAAAATTTGGACTTATAAAGGCATAAAGATTAAGCAAGATATGGTAAAAGATAAGATGAGATCATTACCAAATTCATTATAAGAGGTCTGTTCATAACTCCAGACCACGAGAATTTAAAAAAGCAGTTACAGACCTGTGTTACTTCATTCTATCTTAATCGATCTGAATAACACTAAATGTTAAGTCACCTGTTCGATAGCCGGCGGGGTACAATTTCTTAATGGATGGACTGTAGCAATGGCGTCCTCCATCTCTTCTATTTTTTCCTCTTTACGAATCTCTTCTGTCTCTTTGTCCTGAAATTTAAGTCATTTTAGGAAGACTGCTATCTATAATATTCGTTTGTCATATACTTTACAATGCAAAATTATTTAATATACAATGTACACCGAATTATGAATCTTTATAATAATTAATTATTATTATTTATATTGATTCTAAATGGCATTTCTGTTCTAATTTTCTTTTGCCTCTTTTGGAGTCGACTTACAACTTTATTGTTAACTAGCTGAATCGGGGACTAGTTTTTTCAGGTAATGTTCCCCGTTTTTTCCACATTTCCCGCTGTTTCTTCGCTCCTATTCGTAATAGCGCTATGTTATAGCCTATAGCCGTCACCAATAAATTCTTTAACTTAGACGAAAATATTTTTTCAATTCGAACCAGTAGTTCATGAGATTAGCGCGTTGAAACATACAAACAAACAATCTCTTCCGCTTTATATATTCGTATTTATATCATTGGACGAAATATACATAAGCTAATAACAATTCTAATCGTTCTACGCACTTACATCTATATATCCAGCGTCTTTTTGCTTCTTTTTCTCCCCTTCTTCTTCCTCTTCGTCCAACAAACCCTTCATTGCTTTCTTACTTCCTTCCGTTGCTTTTATTTCTTCCAGTTTTGCTATAATTGCCGTAACTTTTTGTTCCGTTTCTAAAATTTTGGATTTTGGTTAGAAACTAAAAATGTGTACGCCCCAATCAAAATGGCAAACCCAAAAGCAAATAACTTGTTACTTGTATCTCGTAAATACCGATTCACAGACAAAAAAGTTAGTGCATTTAATATTATATCTTTTTATAAATATTATTTTATGCAGCATTTTAATTTATAAAGATTGTAGAAAGATAGCAAATAACAAAATTGATTTAAATAAAACGCTTCTAACGGTTTAAAAACGCTAAATTCATGAGTTAACGTTTGCTAACGTTTTGGATGCCTTGGAGCAGCCATGGTCAAGGGGGATATAAGTTAACTAATACATTTTGCGTTTAAACCGGTAAGTGTTTTATTAAAACGTGAACTACGCGCTATTTACTTAAGAAGATTTGATTTGGTTGAAAAAAATAGTTATGATGTTAGATTGACAATAGAACATTACTTATGTGACCGATTTCCAATTCTAGGATAGTCGTATTGAGTTGTAACTGACATAAAAACCAACAGCCCTAAGCTATAGTTTAAGGCTAATCCCTGCTACTGAAACTTACCTTTATCTAAACTAGTGGCCTTCTCGACGGAAGGTGTGACCTTTTCAACTGGCTGCATGTCGGCTGGTTCAGACGGCTTACCCAGGACTGCTTGGAACACGGAGTACGCAATGAAGAATACCGACACCACCAACCAGCGGTGCCGGCGTGGACGCCGCATCCTCTGCAAAAAAAGGTCGAACAAGTGTAAACTAGATCGCGAGAAGTGTATAAAATGATTAGCTATGGCAGCGACTTCGTCCGTGTAGAACCGTTATTTTGGGCGTTTATTAATTATTTTTGTAAACTGCCTAATCAGCTTTATAAATCATAGCTGTTTTACACATGGCGTCATCCGTCCCGTTCTTGCGAGTTCATCTTAAAATATTGACATATACTGTCGCGGACATTTTTTATATCATTTTATAAAGAACCATTATAAATTATATAATACAATATATAATATATAATGATTATATACGCATATTATAATAGTAAGATTCTTTTTGATGTTGCTTGGACAGACTACTTATGGAGAAGGGCAGAGAAATAGGCTGCCAATAGAAGCGAAACAGAGGGAAATGTGAAACCATCGGGTAAAATTATTCATCTTGCGAAGGTTTATGTTGCGTGCGCGGCGAAAACGGCTCAAGATACCAAAAATATATGTATAAAAGAATGATTTCTTTTTAAATGATCTAAAACAATACCGACAGTATAAGTCTATCTTTTAATATTAACTTACAATAACGACGGGATAACTGCTAGAATTTGTAATGATGAGGTGGTTGCAAAAACAAACATTGATGCCTAAAAAACTCTTCTTCGCGGACGAAGTGGCTGGCACAGCTAGCATAAGGATAAAGCTACTTGGAAATTCGATTTGTTCTGCCGTCATTTTTTAAACACTTCTTTACGTTTTGCCAGCACCAGTCAGTAAAAGATGTTGAACGTTTTTCGACTTAGCGGAGACGTAAGATTAATGAAGCGAAAATATCATAGCCTTATACAATTTTGATAAGCACGCTACGATTTACTTAGCGTTATCTCAATGTAACTGAATCTATTCTAACCTCCAGGGCATGTAAAATATCTCGCTTGAATCTTTGCCAAAACGGGGTATCTCTTTATTCAAAAAAATACAAAGGCAGCTAGCCCTATATGTAGGCGTAAATATCAATGGATTCCGAGCATTTAATCAAATCTTGGCCTTCGTTCAAGAAATGTAAATGTTTGTATGGTATTTCTAGTGATAATTTTGACGAGGGACGGATATGTGTTATTTTGACAAGTGACTGTCTTTCAAGTTAAGATGTAGAGTTGCAGTATTTTTGTAACAGAACACACAATCCTAGTTACGTACTAACTTGTTAAATGTTATTAGTTAAAAAGAAATCAGTTATGGGTGGGATTCAAACCCCTTGTTCCATGCCATATAAAAGAAAATGATACAAGTATTTTTAAATCTAAACCCATTTTTATTTATACAGTTACTAGGTTTATTCTCTATAAATATACTCTGTTATCAACATATGTTTAATGACTAAGATTTTTAAGGACTAATCGGAAACTCCTAAGTGTTTATCGGCAGGTATGATAACAGATAGCGTTAGGATAACTCGTGATCGGTTTGAAATTGTTACAGCAAGTGAAAACGGTGTTATTGATTTGTTCGCAAGCTCGGAAAGCGATTCGAGAGAGACATTACATTTTATTGATACTGGGAAGGCGAGCGCTGATTGGTATCGTAAAACCGATCATTCACTTACAAATTGTCACCGGTTTATATTACGTGCAATCGAGTTTTATACGATTTTTTCAAATGTATCTTTATGGGGGCTCCGTAGCTCATTGTTTAAAACCATTGCTTAGGATCGAGTTTAGTTCTAGTTGAAACCTCGACAATCCTGAAACTATTATGTAGTTTCGGTCAGGTAGGGCACGGAGGCCTGACTGCTAAACTAAACCACTGCGTACATAGGGATATTTTGTCACTAATGTTATCTTAGTTTAATATTTTTTATAATTCTAGAGAAGATCTCAGGGAATAAAGAAGTCTGCATTTTATTTATTTTTAATTATATGTTTACCTGTTTTGGAGCTGATTAAACTTTGCGTCCCAACTTTTAACTGTGCTCTTGTTTTTTATTCTTGTTCATTAAATTTTACAAAAATAATTATGACTTAAACCCTCCTATACATTTATTTCTAGTCTTTTTAATAGCGTCATATAAATTAAGTTATTTCTAATTATTTGAGGATAATTTTATTAGCGTGGTTTCCTTGAAGTGTATATAATGTTTTATCTGTCTGTAATTAATGTGTGTATAATTATAATTGAGGTTCATATGAGTTATCCTTTCTACAATTAGATTAAGTGAGTTTAAAACATGTTTTTGTACCTAATCAGTAAGCCTTATAAAGTTAATAATTAAAAATCAATTTCTTCGTTAGTCTTAGTTAATCTACAACCGTTAGAGATTTGTTAATCAATATAGAATGAAATTAAACGTATGGCCAAATACATTTTCATAAATTAGTTTCGTTTAAGAACTTTCAAATAAGTAAGGCGCACAGAACACTAAAAGGGTGCATTCAAAGGAATAACGGAATATATTTTTAGAACGTTCTATGAATTCTGAAATATCTTGAACGCTTTACATAAAGAGAATTTATCATTTTCTACTTTCTTTGTGTTCAAAGCTCAGGAATTCTTTTTAAAACATCTAAGAACCTTTCAACCCATTAATTGGCTCAAATCTTTGGCATTGTGTTCCATTTCTGAAGGTTATTATGAACAATTGATTCCCAGAAGAATATACATTTACTTAACTGTAAATTGCGAGTACATAATATTAAATATACACTTTAACAGTGTAAAACGCGCTATATATAAATCAAACTTAGTAAATTTTTATAAAACTACGTCGAAGTTAGTATGTAGCGGACGTAGCATCTTTAGTCGGTGACCACGGGTGCTGCAAAGCATCCGAAACATCGGGCCGTTGTTAAAATAGTTTTCAAATACGTTTAATTATATTAAAAATAAGTTTTAAACGTTTTTTGAAAATGATTTTTAACAAAAAGTTAAAAAAGTTCAAATAAGTTTAACTAATATATCGCGTTTTAAACCGTTAAAGTGTTTTATTTAAAAAAAGCGTGGAGTTAAATCGCGTTTATGTTTCAGCCTGTGGATTACCGAATATTCAAATCGAAAAAGGGTCGACAACGCATCTAGTATTTCACCTTTCATCAATCGTCTGTCCTCATAAAACAAAATACATATGTCAGTCATAAATCCTATCTTTTAAAGCAGATCAGCAAACTAACTAAATACACTTAGTTAACCTTAGCACGCGTCAATTACCAAGTTTAAGCAAGGGCGAAAGGTATTTAGTGAAGCCATACTTAGCAACTCTACGAAACAATAACGCAACAGTTACTATAGTCTTTCATTCTTTATTTGCGTTTTTCAAAAAGAGTGGCGAATGGGGCATAGTTTTATTAACTAAATATGATAATCTACTACTACTAATATTAATGCTGAAGACTTTGTTTGTTTGTACGCGCTAATATCAAGAACTACAGATTCAATTCGAAATTCATTCCGTCGCCGTCTGTCGGACAGCGCGTTCATATTTCCTTGTTGTCGTAAATTACTATTGTAGATTATACTCGAACTGGGTATTTTTGCAGTGTATTAGTTAAATTATAACTAAATATCGAATTCGAAGTTGAATATAAAAGTATACAGTGGTTATAGTGACTTAAAAGTGCTCAAGAACAGTGATGAGTTGTGGGTATGCATTGAACAATTTGCGAAAACAGTGATACCGTCGATTAAATATATAGACAGTTTAGAAGAAGTGCATAATAACGGACTGGATATTATTGAGAAAAATAATTAGTGACTTCGTGCAATTTTTTATATAAAGCGAACTGTGAATAAATTTGCAATATTCGCATATAAATAAGCATCATTGAGCAAAGCGACATCTAGCGATCTTGTTTATTAACTACTTTGTTCTTTCAATACTGACTATGTCGACAGTAAAGTGTTCGAACTGTGGAAAATTCACTTCGGCAACAGATGGCGTTAAATGTACCAAATGCGCAGGAGTTTTCGATAGGGGATGTGCTAAGCTATCCAAAGGAGAAAGAACACCCCCAAATTGGTCCTGCCTGGAGTGTAAGGGCAATAAGACCAGGGACTCTCCGTTATCCGATACTATAATTTCTGAATTGCAATTGTTACGTACAGAACTGGCAAATCAAATGGGTGCTATCAGGGAGGATATGGCGTGCTTCTCCACTCGAATAGATAAACTATTTGAGTCAGTGCACAATTTGGGAGATAGACTCGATAATGTCGAAAGCAGGATTTCTGTTTTAGAAAATAAATCAGAACTTTCACCTAGCCAAGACTGTAACTCGAACCAGGATTTATTATCATCTATATCGCAGTTAAAAACGGAATTAAACGATCGAGATCAGGAATTGTTACTGACGGACATTGAAATCTCTGGAATTCCAGACAACGAAGGTGAAAATTTGTCGCATTTGGTCACTCTGATTGCGTCAAAGCTCAGCGTTGTGGTTCATGAAGACGACATCGTGAGTGTTCAGAGGGCAAAGGCCTATAGTCGTAATCGCAGTAATGGAAGTGGGCCGAAACCAAGTAGCCGATCGATATACGTACGATTCACAAGACGTTCAATACGAGACAACTTATTAAAAAGTGCACGTGTACGCCGAGATGCCGACACGTCAGGATTAAATCTACCGGGCGATCCGCGCCGATTCTATCTGAATGAACGTCTTACGCGCCACAACAAGCACCTCTTCTATAAGGCTCGCGAGGAAAAGAAACGACTAAGCTGGCAATACCTATGGACCAAAGATGGGAATATATTTGCTCGTCAGAAATCGGACACAAAAGTTAAACGAATTCGTACTGAAGCAGACTTGGCCGTGGTTTTTGGTGGTCCCGAAAATTAGTCCCCCATCTTGTTTACATTGCTATTCCCGTTAGTTTCATTCGATGTTTGTCTATAACCCTAGAAAAAAGTTGTCTATGTCCTAAGACTATTCTGCTTTTATCTTATATTTTATTTTTAATAGACTACTGTTGTAATAATAATAATTTGTCTAATAAGTTTGCGAAGGGTCACAGTCATGTTG